TGGGTTCCAATCTCTTATGATAACCCTCCGCAGTTTCAATGCTGCCAGACTCAAGTTTAAACCACTGCATACGCAAACATGAACCACGCTGACTAAGGACTCAATTTCATCGTTCTTGTTGGTGTGGTTTTTATTCGGCCAAGGATCCGGGCTCCCGGTCGTACGACCGCCATTTGGACTAAAGACATGTGCGCGCCCTGTCACCAGCTGTGCATCTGGGACCCTTGGATGGGTTCCTGAACGCTACCGACCCAATGAAACAACACCGAATAGCGGTGGTCGGATGAAACGCTCCGATAGGCTCTTTACAGATACTTGGTGATGAATTCGCGTTGCTCTCTAAATGCCGTCTCTTGGACAAGACGGATCAGCAAAATCGTCAGCACATGCAATAAGGCTACTTCCGAAATTGGCACCAGAAATAAATGTGGAAGATGGGAAGATTGTGGCACAGATCATAACCATGAATCTTTAGGTCATTGGTTCTTGAGGAGAGAGGGTCAAATGTTACCTACCAGCCTGCTTGTCTGGGCCTTTCGCCACCCGCCTGTCAACCGGGGTCCAGAACCTTTATCGCCGATCCTCGCCGTTTCAGGCACCTCGATGCCCGTCTTGCGTTTGTCGCACAATCAGCAATGACGCCATGACGACGATGCCCCGTTTTCCTTCCTTACACTCCCAGGTGGTCTTCGCCGATGGCATACCAAAACAGCTTGCCAGCCATTGCGTCGGAGCTCCGAATTAAGAATAGGTGTGGCTTGTGAGCCGCTCAGGTTACTGATAGACATACTGTAGATCGTACAGTACTGTACGGCAGCCCTCGAGATGGTTTGAGGCTTGGGGCGACGTCGAATAGCACTTTCTTCAATGAAAGTCGACTATGATCAGATTTTTTCCATCAAGCTAGACACTGACGGGCTTCTTAGTTTTTGTACCAGGCGGTGGAAGATCCAGCCGCACATGGACATCGGCAGCTTCTAATTGCCAGAGATGTTGTACCGCATTGCATGTATGTATGTATCTACCTGGATTGAGAAGGAAAGGCGTCAGCCTTGCCTAGGGGTGAAGCCTGCCCAAGAACCGTTGGCACCTTCAGGAGGGTGCGTTGGGCTTTGACTTCTCATCACATGCCTCAGTACAGCAGGCTCAATTTCCAGTGGGAGGTGGCAAATGTCAACCGTAACGGTCGTGCAAGTCGTCAGCAACTGAAAGTTCAGTTCCGTTTCGACTAGCATGTCACCGTAACTAGATCTTCATATTGACATGAGTGACATCTGCCGATGTCAGCCATAGCAACAAATGCCGGACAGCAAGAGCCCCTAGTAAGACTGACTATGTACCAGGCAAGTTGATGATTCGTGAGCTTCCGAGAGACTCTTGTTTGTCCATCGCGGGCAATCGTTATCATCCCTCGAGCATTGAACAAGCCAACAATTCCATGACTTTGACAAGCACAAGTACTATAGGAGCAGTAGCCACATGTGGCTGGGCCATTGAGCTTAGCGACGTCGGTTCAAGGACGGGAATAATCCGACTGCTGCACTGAGTCGTCATGGTTGTCAATTTTGGATAGTGAAGCTTATTTGCATAACTTACAGGCCGACAACATTCGCTCATGTTAGCGTATAGACAACCTCAGACCAACAACATGCATGCCATGCCATGCTGTCAGGCATGCTATAGTAACGTACCGTTACTTTGTTGTCAATCAATTCACATCCAAGCCTGCTAGCAACACTATTCTTGGAAAGGAACACCAATGCTTGACTGCAACTCACGCTCAGGCCTTTGGAGTGGCAAATGAAATATTGTGTTTGACTTTGACATACCAAAGACAACCACCGTCACCAGAGTTGGTATGAGGCACAGCCACTGTTTCATTAAAACGAACAGCAATGTCAGTCATCGACAGCGAATTTATATACAAGTTGTCTGTTTACTCTGATATGATTATATGGCTAAGCATTGCTAGTTCTGTGACTGTTTTTCTTGTAATGAAGTCCTCACTTTCACAAACCCATCCATCACTTGAGGTGGCAGCATTGGGAACTCCGTGGCGTAAAATTCATCGAGATTGGAAAAGAATGCTTCATGTCGAAAAGAGGCAAGCGTCTACTGTAGGGCAGATTTCCCTCCACAACATACATACAGTAGGGTTGGGGATTGACGACAGTACGAGTACGCGCATTTTACCCAACTAAGTGTGTGATGGCCGCGGCATGATATTATTAGTACGGGCTATCATGTCTTAAGCTCATTTCTTCGGGCACCAATGCCAGGCCGAAGCCGGGATACCGGACCCCTGAACAGCTGAGGAGGCGATATGTCAAAATTCGATACCTCGAAACATGGGCAAGCTTGAAAACTTTAGAATCGTGGGGTGGCTTTGGTAGTGGCGCCCATCTAAAGGCAGTGCATTGTTGCTTCGAGTTTTGTTCAGGGTCATACACTTTGTGCAACGTAAACGCCACTGTATCGGTCGTGCCAGTGAGATATCTGGTTGATCAACCACTTTCGATACTTGACACCCTGTATGGGGTCCGGCAAGTCCATGTTTCCTGCGGTGGGTTGTCGCTTAATGTGGCTGGCACCTTGGATGGATCGTGGTGTATACGACTCGCAAAAGCCATTGAGCCCTAAGACAGACTACCGTGAAGCCGTTTGATAAGTTCTTAGGGTCGGATGCAACCCTAAGATAGCTATCTCTGGTTTGCTGGAGCCAGAGTTCCTCCAAAGGCCTATCGGAAGTGCTTGTCCAGGGCTTCTCAAGTGGCTGTCAGGATATGAAGGAGAGCCCGGGTACCGAAGGCACCCAACGCTTCCTTACTGTACTCGGGTGTTTCAACAGTGATCTCCAGTGCTGCAGGATGATTCGTAAGCGTGTAACCTAGCAGAGGCCAGTCGGCAACAGTAGGGCAAGCTTCTGGAGCATTAGCCCGATCAATATTGGTTGTTTTTCACCCCTGCCTTCGGAGGCTGTGATCTCTTTCTCCCCCTACCCTTGAAGAGATCGTGGCAGGGTCTAAGGACGGACCGTTAAACGGATAATAAGCGCCAAAGACTAACATGACCAACATGGTGCTGCCATTTGCCGCGGTTGTCATGCCATTGAGGCGCTCCAGAAGAGTCCAGACGCGTTGTTGAAAGTATAAGTGCTTTTTCACTTCTCCGGATACAAATCTATCCGTGAGTTGGTGCCATTTAGTTTCCATTTCTTTAACACCATGAGTAGGGTTGATTACAGCTGGACATGGATCTTTGCCATGTTGTATGATGAGTAGTCTCTTCCGTTTGTCCTTGTGGTGTGTATTGTGTGAGACCTGAGCATATTGTAGTATAGTCCGAACCCTGGTAGTTGCAACGTATGTCACATTGTCATGTGTATGGGCTGCACCCGGGCAAGCACTCTTACGATCGTCGAGAGATGCGATTGACTGCTCGATCGTCCAGGTAGTCGGTGGACTTGGTGTAAATCATGAGCCACGGTAACCTAAACATTATAGCGACAGCAGTCTGATAATGAATGTCAGCAGACAAGCCTGTGGTGCAGCTGAAAACGACACTCTTGCCCAACGCCATAGCTAGACATATCTGTAACGCTGTGCTACTTCGTAAATTCACCTGCTGGTAGGGTACGTGGAAACATAACCTTCATATTTCATCATCAAAGGCTACCTGTTGTTATAATCAAGTCTTAATATGGACAAAGCCTCGCAGGTGGCCGTAAAAAGGCTTGTCGATTCCGTGACGTCTAAGTAAACCCTGTTGTACATTCTCCCTTCACCAGCTGTTTAATCCTTCTTCAAGGGCAAGAATGTCTCCTCAATACCATCCGCAGTGATAATGAGCATTTGAAGGTTGTCACCAACTTCGATGTGTCGCTCAACTGCACCATCAAAGGCATCCTTGACGACAGTCTCGACCTCTGTTCGTGTCAAAGGACGTCGCTCTCTCTCCTTCAACTCGTGGCCCTCTCCGCTTCCAGGAATGTACTGGTTCTTGAAGTTGACCTGGTTGTCGAGGAAAGGCATGATCAAACTGCCCGCAGCACCGCCTGCACGGCACTGCTCTCGCTCGTAGCTTCCTACGGGATCATACGAGTATACAGCACCCTTACCCTCCTCATCCAAACCGCCGAGCATCGCATGCGAGTAGTATGGGAAGAATCTCTTGCCGTAAAGAACTGTGGAGAGTCGCTTTGCGCAGGCGTTGACAGACATGGGCTTGCCGTGGCGGTAACGGTAGATCTTGCAGATGGTGTCGAGGTGGTCGCGGAGAGCTTCGCCATCGGCAGCGAAGCCAACAACTGATAGGACTAGTGTGGCATCCTCCTGAGAAGCAGTTGTGCCGCCAATTCGGAACACCTTGGGAGACATGCGAGAGTTGATGCTGTAACCGCTGGTGTGGCGGGTATCACCAGCCATGATGGTGAAATCGGCGCCAGCAATGGCCAGAGTCGAGCCACCATTGTCGGTGTATCTTGTTTGAGTTAGCTAAGAAGCCTATGTATGCCCAAAGGAGGTGTCTCACGGGTTGAATCGATGTTCTCGAAACTCTCCGTTGTTGGTCTTGGGAGCCTCGGAGAACGAGTAATTGGGCGCGTTCATCAAGGGGTTTTGGCTAAACATGGCAGCCATGGTTGCGGATTATGTTGTAAGTATTATGGTCGCACAAGAAGAATGGTTATTTTCGATGGGCAGGGCGGAACGAGGTCGATTTCGGTGGTTGATGATGTTGAGGTTGATGCTGCCTTGTCACTGACGATTGAGCTGAGGTTGAGACGCACGCGTCAAGCTTGCAGCCTTGCCCGCTTAACCTGTAGAGCTGGGGTAGCTCCGATGACTAAGCTAGAGCTTGACAGGGGTTCACCTCCTAAGTTCACCTAACAACCATCGTCATTTACAAAGTCACATCTAAGACACAAATTTATTGACATTGCTCTCTGAGCTTGTTATTTTTCTCCTGTGCTTTGAAGCGGCTGCACTGCCTGCGCTTAAATCATGACAGGCGACATTCGCTCCAAGGCCCTTCAGAAGATAGCTTCGCTATCCGCGACTAGCTCCACGACATCCTTTGACCGATCCGATCTCGACCGATTATGTAGAGCCTGTCACGCTGGTGCGAAGAGCAAGGACTATGTCAATGGAAGTCAGAATAGAGGTTCTTTGGGTCGGGTGCCTATGGTAGGTTCTTGAGGGATTTTGCAGATTTTATAGCAGAGAATTGACACTTGCAGTCCATCCGCGAATTCGAGGTCCTAATCGCATTGTGTAAAACGGCACCCAAGATCAAGTCGAGCCAGAGCGCGCAGAGGCTCTCCTACCAACTGTTTCCGTACATCCTCGAAGCACACATCCAAGTGTTCGTCCCGTCGCCCTTCTTTCGAAAGATCGATCCATCCCCTACCGAAGCTTTGGCCTTTCATGTAACAGGGGCTCTTCTGGCACTTGGCATCAACTACGATGAGCTCCAAGAAAACGTTATTGATAAAATCTGGTCTTTTGTGAACTCATGTAGACGAGCCACGGAGAGCATCATCTCCCCCCAAGCGGGAGACCCCGAGAACCCACACCTAGAAGACGCTGTTCGAACTGTAACAATCGCCGTGGCTTTGCTTGGATTTCTCGATGCAGCTGCGGCACAAGCTGATTTCTGGAGAGCTGGTGGTCGACTGGCGTTGGTCAAGAAGATTAGAGAGCTTCTTTCTGAGCCATTCCTTATTGCAGTTGAAACCGCACTTTCCACCATTCGCAACTGCCATAGCCAGGACCGTGAGGTGAAGGAATGGAAGAGATATCTGCGCCACTATGCCTCATCTGGCCGACCCCTGGGAGCTATGCTCTTGCACAAGAGTTTCGCCCAGCTTGTTGTTTCTAGTACTTCTCTGATGGTGAAGGGCCCTGTTTCTTTGCGAGAGTCTCATGTGCTTGATATCTACATTTCGCAGGGCGAGAGTTTGCGCAGTGTTGCTTCATCTGCTCGAGAGGCGGATTTTAAGACTATTGAGGACTATGCGGCTTTGGCGGTTGAGGAGATTCAGTACATCGAAGGTGGCGCGGACTTCATTCGCATGGGATCGCCTGATCAGCAGAGTCTCGCGTACGCTGTCAAGGCTGCAGCTCTTATCTCCTACTTGAATTGTGCTCTGCTCAACGAAGATGCCGCCGATTCGGAGATTCTCATGAACTGGTTGCAGGAAACCTTGGATGACTCTGTCCAGATGGCTGATCCAACTCTTGCCTCTGTGACGCTCCGATGTTTGGCCTTGATCTGCCAGATTTCGCCATCCTTTTCGTCCAATGTCAGCCGCATCTTGCCCAGATTCATTGTCCAGGACGCGCCTCAAAAGAACATTGTCACTATCGCTTCCAGCAGCCTGGCATATGCTCTGAAAATGCTTTCCAAAGATGCTGTCATCGGTACGCTCTACACATTGGGTAACGTTCTCAGTCCCGGATCAGACCAGGGATTTGTGAACGACCAGATCGATGGGGCTTCGAGTGAAACTGGATTGAATCCCATATACACCAGACGCCAGTCCATCGGAAGCTCCATCTCCCTTCAGCTGCATGATGAGGAGGAGACTGCAATCGTCTCAGGCAATGTTGTGCAGACCATTTGCGAAATTTCTGCCGCGTTCAAGGACGAGAAGATCACTGCCTTGGCTCAATCGATGCTTCAGCAGAAGCTTGAAAAGGTCAACACAGGCGTTGATGCTCGAATCATTAGTGGAGCCGCCGCCCTGGCTCTTGAGGGTGGCCAGCTTGAGTTCCGTTCACTACTGAAGTTGTTCAGCAAATTATGCCATACCGGAGTTGTCGATAACCAATTGTTTCTACTTGAAGCCGTATGTCCACCCGCCCCCTATGTTGACTCATGTACTGACTAGTGTAGGTGAGAAATGCTCGCACCTTCATATCTGCCAACTTGCGACGCGATTCCCAGCTGTTCAACATCTACTTTGAGCACTTGCTTGACAACATCATCGGACTTGGCGATGTTCATTCTTCTGGACATACTAAAGAATCTGATGTGCAAATGGCCGCCAAGGAAATTGCTGAGCTCCTACCACCCCTGGCAACTTTCATGTCCAGCAACGATTTTGCTTCCAATCCCATCACTGATGACGAAACTTATTCTCTACTTCGAGATGCTTGGTTTAATATCGTTGTCCATGGCTTTGCCACCAATACGGATCGTGGAAAGCAGTACTTGAGAGAGTTGCGGTTGATTGCGATTCACTCTCCACCCCTGGTGGCCGAGCAGCGAGGTGAACAGGTCGAAAGTGACATTGAACTCAATACCGTTCTACGACGGGGCATGAGCAATGACAGGGAATCTATGCAGAAGAAGCTCCTTAGCGACCTCGTACCCTCGAAGGCTAATGAAATCAAGAGTCTCAGCTATCGCAAGGTGATATTCCTGCAGGCTGCTTATCTCATGGAAGTTCTTCGAGCCGACTCGGGTGATTGCACCAAGGTTTTATCTTACTTCCTGGAGCCGAGCATGGCCAGGGGTGATGTTAGCAGCGCTATGGAAGGTGTTGCTGCTGCTGTAATGGATAAATATATCCAGAAGACTCAAACTGGCGTGGATCCCACCTTTTCTGCCCAGTACGCCGCCGAACAATTGGCGGCCATCTTCTGCAGCTGCTGCCATCGCATTGAGCGAGTTCAACAGGCTGCTTTTGTCTGCGCAGACCGTATTCTTCGCGACATCCCCTCGGCCCTTTGTCATCGGTCATCACTCTTTGCCTTGATCGAGCTACTCTCTCTAATGTGGACTAGCTGCTTGGAAGCAGAGACAGATGTTTACGCTCCCCGATCAACATTCACATCGGAGCTTGGTGGTGTGACTGTACAACTTTCAGACGATTACGACTTCCGAAGACAGACGGTAGACACTCTCAACCGTAAGGCGAGGGTATGGGTGAATACCGCTATCAACATTTCTCCTCTCGATGTAAAGGGTATTTTGCAGACCTACCTCTCTGAATTCAGTGATGAGGGAGCGTACGGTCATGTGTCTCTGGGAAGATCATTCGCTCTCGAGCTCGGATCAATCATTCCGTTAACAGACAACCGTCTGCAATCTATGGATAAAATTGGCAACTCAAGTGTCAACACAGCATCTGCCTTTGTTGCGCAGTACACAACTCGTCAAGAGTATCGGTATGGCGAGACGCTTCCTGATCGTGGTACAGAGCTTATGAGCTTCATGAGTCACAACCGCCGCATGTCATTTGCGCAGTCATCCGTGAAGGAGAGTGCTAGTGCCACTACTGCGCTGGCTCATATTGAGGCTAGGATTCTTAGCAAGAAAAGCACATCCACTACCGAGGTCCGGGATATCCTCCGCAGAGCAGCAGCTCTTCTTTGCCGCACGGACAAGGATGAAGCCGCTGTTGCTCACCATCTCGTGAGCATTCCGTTTGCTCTTTTCACTAAGCAGTCTATGAATCTTGGTGTCTCTCTGTGGCTTGGAGTTATAAATGAGAACCCCAGACAGGAGTCGAGGCTTCTGAACGAGATTGTTCAGCAGTGGGAGTTCACTCTTGGCCGAAAGGTCGGCCTTTTCAGTCCGACTTTGAACCATATTGATCCATTCTTCCTGAAGGAAGAGTTCGCCCCCAGCGAGTTGGAAGCTTTGGCCAAGAAGAAGCAGATTGTGCACGACATCCTCTCGCCCCATACTCGATTGCTGCAGTTCTTCGCCAGCCACTACAACGCTACTAGGCTTGGTAGCCCCGACATTCAGAGAGTATTCCTCCGAATGCTGGACCTTACGCTCGAGGCCATGAAGCAATCTGCAACTCATCCAATGGCCCGCGAGATCCGATTCCAGATTATTCTGTTCGCTCTGCGTGTCCTACGATCCAGCACTACTCTAAAACCTGTAGCACAGTGGAGACTCAAGGAGCGAATCCTTACGGCTGGTCTGTCTTGGTTCAAGTCTTCGCCCAAGTGGTCTTTTGGAAGCAACCTGCTACAGATGAAGACTGAGATTCGTCTTATCTCCGACGTCCTTGCCGCCTTACAGCTCGTCTCCCCCATTGGGGCTCAGACTGTTGGCAACGTTAAGTCTCTACAGTCTAAGGAGCAACTTCTCGACCTTCTTCTCCGGAATGAACAAACTCGTTTGATTGTCTGGGTCAATCCACTCAACACTCCTGGCAATCAGGCGTTGGCGCCACCAGCAGGCAAGACACCAACTGAAGCCGCCCTTCTACCACTTATACGCACAGCTTGGTGGCAAGATCCCGCCATTGCAATTGAATTGGCGACCCGGTTCCCTTTCCCTCGCCTGCAGCGTGACATCAGATTCCTGCTTCTTACCATGCCTGAAAAGGCTATCTTTAGCCCCGAGGCCCTGAGCTTAATTTTTGGAGGAGCCCTTCCTGACGACGTTGGTGCTCAGCAGCTCAAGGTATGTCTTGTGTATCGATTGATCTTTGCATTGCTAACATTCGGCAGTATCTGTTGTATTGGGAGCCTGTAAACCCTGTGACTTCTGTAACCATGTTCCTGCCAGCCTACCAGTATCATCCTTTCATCATCCAATACGCCATGCGTTCCTTGGAGAGTCATTCTGTGGACGTGACCTTCTTCTACGTCCCCCAAATTGTTCAATCTCTCCGCTATGACAGCCTTGGATACGTCAAACGATATATTCTGGAAACAGCCCAATTCTCTCAACTGTTCGCTCATCAGATTATCTGGAACATGAAGGCCAACTCGTACAAGGACGATGATGCACAGATCCCGGATGAGATCAAACCTACTCTTGATACGGTTATGACCCAGATGGTTGACGAATTTGCGACAGAGGACCGCGACTTCTACGAAAGAGAGTTCGCCTTCTTTGACGAAGTCACAGACATTTCTGGTAAGCTCAAGCCTTATATCAAGAAGAGCAAGCCAGAGAAGAAGCAAAAGATTGAAGAAGAGCTGCGCAAAATCAAGGTCGAAGTCGGTGTCTATCTCCCTAGTAACCCTGATGGCGTTGTCATTGGCATTGATCGCAAGTCTGGAAAGCCCCTGCAGAGTCACGCAAAGGCGCCATACATGGCCACGTTCCGTATCCAAAAGAACAAGGGCGGCGTGTCTGAGGTGGACGAGATGATGGATGAGAAAGATGGAGGAGAGCATGGAACTCCTGAGAAGACGATCGAGGTCTGGCAGTCGGCCATTTTCAAGGTCGGAGATGACTGTCGACAGGATGTGTTGGCGTTGCAGATGATTGCTGCATTCCGAGGAATCTTCCACGATGTCGGACTTGACGTCTACGTCTTTCCTTACCGAGTCACCGCCACAGCTCCTGGTTGTGGTGTTATCGACGTACTCCCCAACTCGATCTCGCGAGATATGCTTGGCCGTGAAGCTGTCAACGGTCTGTACGACTACTTCATCTCCAAGTACGGAAACGAGAACTCTCTTCGTTTCCAACGTGCCCGCAGCAACTTTGTCAAATCGATGGCTGCATACTCAGTCATTTCCTACCTGCTGCAATTCAAGGATCGACACAACGGTAACATCATGATCGACGACGCTGGCCACATCCTGCACATCGATTTTGGTTTCTGTTTCGATATCGCTCCTGGAGGCATCAAGTTTGAGCGTGCTCCTTTCAAACTCACAACTGAAATGGTGGCTGTCATGGGCGGCTCAATGGAGCATCAGAGCTTCAAGGCGTTCGAAGAACTCTGTGTAAAGGCTTTCCTCGCTAGTCGTCAGTACTGCGAAAAGCTTAGCCAGATCGTCTGGCTCATGATGGATAGTGGTCTCCCTTGCTTCAAGCCTGAGAGTGTCAAGCACTTCCGCGAACGTTTTGTTCTAGACAAGAGCGAGCGTGATGCCGCCAACTTCATGAAGCATCTTATCAAGACTAGTTACTCGAGCCACAGCACAGGTATCTATGATCAGTTCCAATTGCTGACAAACGGCATTCCTTATTAGGGGAGAAATAAAAGGAGGGTCTTTAGTGTGTGGTTTGAATTTTTTTTTAATTCCAGCATTTGTCAAGTTTTGTTTCCTACTCTTCCAGGAGGTATGGTTGCAGTCCAACACCTGCGTCCGTAATTCTATAGTAATTAGCTTAGCCAAGCTTGTTTGATAATATACGTTTTACAGCCAATCCTTCCAATATCAAGGCACTACGATAGTGTGCGTGACGGACTTGATGTCATTTGTTGGGACATGAACTTGTAAATTTCTCGATCCTCAATATGCATGGGAGTGAAAATTCTGGCAATTGAGCGCCTTCGCTCTTGTTTGTAGACAAGTGACTCATCTGGTCCCCGCTTGCCATTGACATCCAAACTCAGCTTTATTTCGGCTTGGCGGCAGATCCCTTTAGCATATGAGTTGGAGCGTTGTAGCTTGTGTAGTCGACGTGGACGAAAGCTCTGTCCACGATGGGCACAGACTCGAGGAAGTATGTGAGTACCTCACTAAGGTCGTGACTATCCTTGAGCGGTGTCGCAGCGGAGAGCACAATGTCGACCTCAACAAAGAGCTTGTCACCAGCGTGGTATGCGCGCAAGTTCTGAATTTGGCGAATGGCTGTAGCGAAGCGCATTGTCAGGTAGAGCAGGAGGTTGCGCTCATCGGGCTGTGCTGAGAAACCCGACAAGTTACGAACGTGGTGCGCCGATGTCTGACTCCAGTTGAAGATAACGACTGCAGAGAGGAACAAGCCACCGAAAGCGTCGAGCCACCAGATTCGTCCGTAGAAACCAACTGCAGGCGAGAAAGCAACGGTCAATGAGGGTTCAGTTTCATTTCGCATGTTTTGTCCACTTACTAATGGGGAACAGGATGGAACCAGCATTGAAAATAACATCCGTTTTGGCATCTTCGGCCCTGCGATTTGGTTAGATATGTCTTTTCAGCGAAGCTGAAGTTGAACTTACAGTGCTCTGACACTCGAATTCTTGACGAGACGACACCAGATCCAGCAGGCACCCTTGATGACAATGGTAGAAACCATGATTGCGATAGCGGGGACGCCCAACTCAAGAATAGGATGTTCAGGGCTCATGAGGCGCTGAATACATTCGAGCCCGACCTGGCAGAATGAGGTGATCATGATGATGGAAAAGACAAGGACCCCAAGAGGTTCAAGCCTACGCCAATGTTAGCTTACTTTCGCCCCTATGTTTGGCGGAAACTGCAACTTACTTGCGACGACCAACAGGATAACTATACTGGTCGTGATGACTAGAAGAGATGAGACGCGTAGTAACCCATACAATGACGGTACTGAGGAAGTCCAACACGGCATCTACCAAACTAGCAAGAACCGACATAGAGGGAACAGACATGATAACAACAAGTTTTCCGGCAAGAAGAACAGCGTTGGCAATGAAATTGACCCAGATGGCCAATGTGACAATGGGATCGTCGCTGTCGATTTCAGCATCCTCAAGCCATGGCAGGATAGGCTTAGGGCCATTGTCGTCGTCCTTGCTGGGAGGTCGTGGGGACTGTGCCACTTGCTCATCTTCTTCGTCGTCGTCGTGATCCTGGCGCTGGAGCAAAGGCAGGTTCTCAGAAGATCGGAAGATATCCTGAGGCGTGCGGGTAGCAGGAAGCTTTGTGGTGGAGCTGCTGTGCTTGACGCTGATAGCGCCATATGATCCTGGTGTAATGGACGCAGGAGTCGAAGTATTGAGAGGCGTTGTCTCGGATGTGCTGGTCGAGGGCTCCTCGTTGATGGTATCTGGGACATCGACTGGTCGGAAAGCAGATGCATCGAGCTCTGCTTGGTACTCGTTTAGAAGATCGTGAGGGATCGCCGAGTCGAGAAGAGCATCGATGTACAGATATTGCTGAATCAAATCGTTTGTTCTCTCATAGTACTCACGCCTGACGGGCTTGGTTAGTATATGCGCATGGCGCGCTTATAATGATGGGATTGTGGACTTACAAGTGCTTGGGCATTGAAGCCAGCTCCTCCTCGGGTCTCCAGTACTGCTCCCAGCGGTATCTAGGATTGCTTCGGCCAATTAGTTTGGCGCTGCGGTTTTGGGGACCGTGGAGCAGCTGGGTTAGACGGCGCTCATCGGCAAGCAATCTGCCAAGCTCATCGTTGTCGTGGCGGATCAAGCCAGCTTCCTCATCGTCGCCCATCCAGAATGCGGCAGAATGCGCAGGGAGTGAGCTGCTCAAGCTCTGCATGCTTTGTTGAGAACGACTGCGGATCAATGACTGGAGATGACCACTGCGCGTGCCGAGAGGGTTGTGGCTATCATCGTTGGAGAGAAAGGAAGGGCGGCGAAACTGAGCATGGCTGCCGTGCTTTGAAGAGGGAGTATTGGGAGAACTCATTGTCGCGAATAGAGTTAAATTGTCGCTAATATCTACAGCGACTTGCGAATAAGTTTTGAGGAATTGGCTGGGGAGGCGCAATATATATCGCCGACAAAGTAAGGTAAAACGTGTAGCGAGTCAGGTTTCGGTGTTTGAGATTCCTGGGGAATATCTGAAGCGTTAAAGTTGAAAGTAGAAACAAATGCGACTATCCAATGGCACCTTGAAGGTAGTTGAAACGATTCTCCGCGCCTCCGACCTGATGCTCAAACAGGACCCTTAAAACTTGGACAGGATGAAGGTTTAAAAAAAATTGATATTCAGAAACAGGGTCTTGAAGATTTAAGCAAAAGAGGCCGAGGCCAGCGAGGTTCAAAAAAGGATAGATGTTTCGGAGCTTCGGAAACGGAGAGGTAGAGTAGAAAGATTGATTAGATCCCAATGCGCCGAGATTATTCGCCCACATGCTTGCATTCAGCTCCGCTATAAAGGCCGCTGCCCTGGCAGTTCGGTCTTGGCTTTGGTGTTTAAGGGTCCCTTGACTCCAGAGAAGGTTTAGTGAGGTTCCTTTTGATGTGTTGAGGTAGAAGGGGGACTCAATTCAATACATGGAGAGGGGCGGATCATTGGTGTAATTCGTTAGCCATTGAGAGTTTCAAAGTGCATAAATATGCAATATGTAGGTAGTTTGTTATGCTAGAAGCTAAGTTTTTACTCTGAACCGTAATATGAATAGACTCTGTTCCCTCAATAACGATATATTCACTTCGTGGCAGGTGCTTCTCATCTTCCTCTTGCTGAAATCCATACCTATCTTAGATGTAAGTTGCCTTAGTCAGCGGAGCCGAAAGGAAAGAACAAGTGGAGACAGGCGGATCTGGATCGCTGAGATCCTCCACCGAGTCCACCGAGAGTCCACTGAAAGTTCCAACTCGAAACCTTTGGCCACTGGGAAGGTGACTATCCGATGGTGAAGTGAGGCAATGCAATGCTGATTGGATCTTTGAGCTCGCTCTATGCTGCCGAGGTTTCGACAAGACGGGACAACCCCTGGAGTTGGTTGCAGTGCAGAAGAAGATGGGGTAAGTTAAAGCACCAAGGGCCAAGACCCTCTCAATCTCAACACCATTGACAAGTGCCGTGAATATCTATAGTCACCTACCTTAATTGTATGCTTATCGTGACTATCAAACGCTCTTGCGACAGATGGCCCCTTCTCCTGTTTAGGTTGCTTAGCCTTTAGTAATTGCTGTTGGTCTGACGACTTATTTATATGTGACTGCATTCCAGTCACTCATACAGTCGCATGCATATAAATTATCCACCAGCCTCATCAATGTTAATCCACGAGGCTGGTCCTTTCTACTGTACCATCTGCATTAAGAAGAGTGCATACAACGTGGTCAATTGATTGATGATTGATTGACCACGACAGATGCTAGCTCAAGATGTCCTTTCAAAGACGGCTACTGGGCACTCCGTACGGGAACGGCGTATTCGTTCAGAGGCACTACAAGCCAAGACAGACAGCCCGGCTACTACTTCAATCATCATCATGGCCGCATCACAAAGTTGCATGCCTGCCTACGTATGGATGCGCGGTCATCAAGACATGCATAAAGAGATGCATAAGAGTCCCCGGTGATGACTCTATGATCAAGGTAAGCAAAACTAGATCCAGAGCCTGTCTTAATGTTTGTTCGCAGCTTTCCTTACGACGGTTGAGATGACGGACGGTTGATCGATATGATGATAAGGAGAGGTTGGTCTTGTCTGTGGCTTGTCCCGACTATCACATGCCCTCACCAACATCAATCAAAATCGGAACCATATCATGGACGAGGCGGCTCTAGATTCGTTGATCAACGCCTGGTCTACATCATTGCATCTTGACGTTCCAAAAGGTCGGGAGACGAGTCAACGGGCAGTGATAGAGTGGAATTATCCCGTCCCGTCCGCAGATATTCGTTGAATGTCTCATCCACACTGTGCGGCGCGCATCGCGTCTTGACTCTATGCCTGCCCTGTCTTGGTGTTTAGGCATAGCAGGAGAAGAAGGTTAGCGTATCGGGGATCGAGCAATGGAGTGCTGATCCAGATCCTGATCCACCAGAGGCCACGCAATTCATGTCTTAAGACTTGTTGACGTGCATTCGCGCGCGTCGTCTAAGTTAAGCTGCCCCGTGTTATCGTTGCACCGCTGAACCTGAACCTGACTGAATCAGTCCGCCACCAGGGGAGCCGACCAAACGGATCACTTTGCTTGATAACCGCAGTGAGCACACAACGCAGTAAATTCATAGAGTAGGTGGTCTAGGTCAAGCTTTTCTCTCAACAAAGCAAGAAAGTGGAGTTGATCTCTTGCCTTTGCCTTGGCTACTGTCCCGGTTCTTGAGATCAACAACCATCATCAGTCTGCGTATCGAATAAGATAAAGATAGACGGTTATGACGAAAGGCTCGGGAGATGAAGAGTTTCCTGTGTCCCGGTATGTACCACGTACTAGAGTCCCGCGAATGGGGGAAAAAAGCAAATACAGAGACAAGGACTAGACTACCAGGTTGATCGATCGCCTTGTCTTGTCTTGACTTTGTCGTGTCTTAGACGCGCTTAATTATTGGCAATCCAATAACAACAACATCAGCAACAGCGAACAAAACGGGGAGTCGCAAATCTCTGTTACGGTCCCCAGTTCAGTGGAGATCCAACGTCCACTCCATACGAAGAGTTGCAGGGAAGTTCCAAGGAAGAAAACAAGCTTTGCGCTGGTGTTGACACTAGATGGTGTGACTTTTGCCTTTCTGTTTGTGTGTCTCTCCCTCGCGGAGACACAAGAATAGAAACTGTAGCCAGCCTACCACGTAAATACTGTACTGTACAGTAACGAAACAGTGTGGTGATCACCCCAACGCCCATCGAGTTGGGTTGAATTTTTGTGGGCGACTGACGTGAGACGATTAGACTAGAGAGTAGAGCCCAGCCCTCAGCTGCAACTGTGGCTACAGTATCATCAGCTATCAGATTTTTGTTTGGACTCGATTGGATGTTGATTGAACGTTTGCGTGATGGGAACTCAGCCCAAGTTAATAAACTGTCAGCCTGCATCAGGGCTCAGGCCCAGCCACGCGAAAGTTGCCATTGCAGCAGCTCTCCGTATCCGTACTCCGTCGGCCGATGTAGCGACGGGAGAATGAGGCTGTCGTGGCAATGTTACACAGCATAAGCATATACTATGTACTCCCTCAACTCGTACAGTACACGAGCTATTGTGTCCTCCGAGGACGGACTTTATTCCTTAACGTAAGTTCTTATTTGAAGTCATTCAAGACGAGACAGGAAACACGAGGCGGAAATAAGTTCAAAACACTAAAGCATCCATTAATCTCCTCCTTAAGTCTATATCTTGCCACTCACTCTCGCTCTCGCTCTCACTCTCACTCTCGCTCTCTCCATGACTTGGGTCCCTAACATGTAAGAAGCATTGGCCAAGCTTTGATCTAAAAAGAGACCATCCCCGATCCACTCAGTCACTCTCAGGTCACCCAGCGACCAGGGGGAGATCATCTGAGAAAAATAAGAAAAAAAGGAGTCCAGTGGCCGCTGAGTTTTTCAATGATTTTCACCCAAATCACCCGCGTACCTGAACTTGACCCGATCAGGCTTGAGTTTCTGTGACGATGAGGTCTGCTAGCACTCGATTAGGTTGCATACAAGTGACAGTGCGGCTGCACAAAGAGGCAGATCAATTGAATGACTTAGTTTGTCAACTATCATTCATCTCTTTTTCTATTAACATGGGGATGTCGGGTTCTTGGCCAAGTTTTTGGTTGCAGAACCTAGGTATAGCATAAATCCACCATGCTGTGAAGCCCGAGTTTTGGCTGCTATCAAGATCGTCAACTCCTCCTGTAGATCAACGACGTCAGTGAAAGACAAGGGGAAGTGAAAAATCAATCAAGATCACGAGATAATGTAGATGTCGAACATCATATGGCAGTCGTTTACCAGGGCAAGGGCTTTTGATGTCCCATGATACCGATGGAAGTGGGAACCAACATCGTCTATTACCTACCTATCTTTGAGTTCCATTTATCACTGGCAATCTAGCAAAGGCTGGAACTTGTTCACCTCCACTCACTATGGAGGTTGAGGTGCTCAGTTGTTCGGCTGCCGTGGATCATGGTGGAGACCATCCCCTGTAGGCTGTGCCTGAGGTGCGCCTGTGCCCGCAACCCCCAGCCCGTAACAAGCCCAAAGCTCCAGGGGTCGAGAGCTGTAAATGGAAGGGTCACGGCGGGAACGGCGCAACCGAATCAACCAATAATTAACCATCCCCAACTTTGATCTGCTCTCTTTGAGAACCAATATCCGATGGCCCTGGACGGTATATAAGTGAGTTCTGATATGATGCAGGTATCAATTAACTTTGGAGGTGTCGACCAAGGTCGGCGAAACTTAAAAGAGCATCCTTCTGAGGCATTGACTTTGAATTAATAAATGCCAAGAAAGCTCAGCATCATTGAACCCTTATCTCCACAGTATCTCCAGTATTTCTCTCTAGTCTAGACGCTGGAGACCTTTGTGTACTGTGCGTATATCATCCGGGAGATTAATAGAAGCAATGCCTTGACTTTGAATCCATCGTGAGGAAACACCAAGGGGTTTGGCACGGATCAATGGGGGCTCATCTTCCGTTATCTGATACTGTCCGCACATACAGTATTTGTCTGTGTGTACGGATAGTAAAAGACATCTCGTCTCACTAAGGTAATGGGTGTCAGTTACATCAACTGCTTACAAAAATAACTAAGCCTTGGCCAAGAGCGCAGATCATCGATATGTCCCTCGTGTTGAGAGATACCAACCCTTGATGTTGACGTCTTCCCCCCCTCTTTTCCATGTTCAATTTCAAGGGTACAAAAAGAAATAAACATCATTACGGAATTATCCATGATCCAGACATCAATGGCAATGGCAATTTGATCGGTGAAACGTCCCAAGTGGTTCAAGATCAGCCCGGTTCACCAAGGCCAAATCCTTAGCATCTTTGGGTTTAGACTGTCTGTCTTACGATCCATCGAAGGATTCATCTCCATCTGCCGCACATCATCAAATTCCCCAGGGCTGAAGAATTCCTAAAGCACTGACAAAAAACCGAACATCTCTGGATGCACGAAAGAGCGCTATTGACTCAAGTGTGTTGATTGTTGGTTGACACTTTTCAGAAATGCCACGCAATTTCCCCCTTTAGTCCACCGGCTTCTCTAAAAGCCCGACCTAAAGTAATTGGATTTTCTTAGGTCTTGCACTTTGCAACATTGAGGAGGTGCCGTTCCGTACATACAGTAGCTCCAGCAACTTGTGTAGGTAGGGAGCTGATTTAATTAATATCGGAACTATTGAGCCATTTGACGGCTTTGCCCGTCCTGGCTTAAGTCTGCCACACCTCTTTGGAGTTTGGACATGAATGCGACTGACAGTGACAGTGAGACTACCCAGCCTCAGTAATCAGTATCAGTGTCAGCTCTGCCCAAGAACTGGAGGCTTGGAAATATTGTTTCGGATATCTCGAGACTAGTGTCTGTTTTATTGATGCTGTTGGTTGAGATGCATTTGATATTCTAATTATGATTCGGTTTGTTTTTGTTATGATCGACTGGACTGCAGTTCAAGGGGACATGTTACAGGCCAGCTGAACATGACATGATGTTGTATATCATATTATCATTGGCACTCGTGCCTGAAGCGTGGCCGTTGCCGTGGGTGGTTCAAACCTCAGCGGTGACTGCGGTTCGAAAGACAAGGATCGTCTGCTCAGGTTCTCTCATCTCGTGCTAGTAAGGTGGTAGTCGGGACAAGATACGGGTTGTTAGCCTGCGAGTGACGATGGACCTTGCAGGGGTTCGGGTGGCATTCATGATGAGCCAAGAGAAAGAGGCTGTATCGGGGCTTTTTTTTTCTGTCTGTGACAGATCTCAGGGATAGGCTTTGCAATATTTGGATTTAGACGATACTGGTAGGAATTGCTAGCATTGAGTTGTTGACAATAAATAGTTGCAGGTTTAAGACCTGAAAGTGTTGATGTTCGGGTCAGGTATGGATATTATGGGCTGGGGTGGTTGTAGAAGGAAGTTCTGTGCAGTCAGTAAGTACCTAGGGTCTCTTGTCTTGTCTTGTGCTGCCTAGACCTGTCTCAATTTCTACAGTACTTCGTCACTTGAGTTTTGTTGCTGATCTTGCTTGTTTATGTCTCTTGTTTCTATTTATTCTGCTATATTAATGCTGTTGTCCATTAATTGATAGCATCTCAAAAAGTAACGGAAGGAACTAATACCACATTCGTTCGCAGCTTCCGACAAGATTCAAGACTGGCTGGACTGAAGTGGGCGGGACGGGAGGTGGCTCTATCGAGACGGAGGCCGTGCGTTAGTTAACGTTAGCGACCTCCAGTAAGTTGACCCACCTGATGGATGGCAAAGCGTTAAAAGAGGCCCCATTTACGAACAACTGTGCACCTGCACTGTGCGTGTAACGCCTGACCCCTACTCCTACTCTCTTAGTTCTCTATTGCCTGTGCTTTTTTTGCTTGTGCTTGTGCTTCTTGGCTTGGCCTGCCTTTTCTAGGTACAGCAAGTACATACATACATATCCATCCATTTCATACATGGATCTTTCAATCCATGACCTGTCGGGCCACTCAATCACTCACTCACGCTCTCTCTGGGCTGGACTGAACGGACCTAGACCTGGACTTCGCTTCCATCTCTCGCTTTCTCTCGTTCAAACCTCACCACCACCACTCGCTTCTTTCTCTTCCCCTCCCTCCCCCCTAACCTAACCTACCTTAACTCTTAATCTTTCATTGATTGATTGCTTTTCTGTCTGTCGTTGCTCTGCACTGTTGAGTTGAGAAAGAGAGAAAGTTCAGTTTCTTGCTCCAAGACTTGCAAGATACGAGGCGTGAGATCATCTCCGTCTTTAACTTCATTCTATACATACATACTTTCACTTTTCGCTCTCGCACTTGCCCGACCGTCTTGTTCCGGCTTCCACCAGCCACCTTTTTACTCCTAATACAAACCAAACCGTCTTTCGTTTCTGGATTGGATTTGGAGATCATATACATAATGTAAGTAAAGAACTCTCTTTGGCTTTTGCCAATGACCACATGCCGAACCTCCAACCACCTGGTTTCCCGTGTCTCTCTTTCTCTACCATCAACCTGGAACCCGTCTCGACATTACATTCCGATAAAAGCTTCCCCATCGCCTCGCCTCGCCTCGCCTCGCCTCGCCCCCCTCGACCTTTCATACCCACTGCTATTATTATTGCTATCGCTTGTTGTTTTCCCTGTACAATCCAGTTCAGTTCAACCTATTTACGTGCCACGACTGCGACGACCACGATCCTCAGTACAATTTCTTTTCATAACCTCGGCTGACTTGCGATCCTATCATGCAGTTACCCGCATTTATTATACGCATCTTGCTTTCTTGAATCGCTTCGGTTTGAATACCCTCGCTAAATACCATACGCACTGAGACCCGACTCGCAACCCTTGTTTTATATTCTTTTCGATTCCATACATACCAGATCCACATTACCGACATATATCGACACCTGAAAGCACCCCAAACAAATCGACAGTAACTCGGATCATTCCGAGCCTCGTTTTATGGGTTGTACCTAATTCGCCCATCCCGTCATTCTCATATCACCCTTATAAATCCTTCTACATGGCTAGATTCGGTGCCTTCAGCAGACGGAAGTCAACCGCAACCTCGGAAGATTTCCAGCATGGGCCAGTGACACCACCAGAGGGACAATCATCGTTCCGAGTTATTGAGCGTTCAGACCCTTCTCTAGGCAAGTCATTTGACGGCGGCGCTAGGATGGCCAGGGCTTCTGGTAGTCACATTCCCAAGCCAAGTCATCTGGAACAGTCCGACAACGACGAAAATATGTTTGCAGACCTCAAAAGTGGCAACAGGTGAGTTTTTCCCTAATTATATCCCCGCCTCCCTCTGTGTGACTCGCCAAGGAATGTGTTGCACACCTACCGTTGGGTCGGTCGGTCTGGAAAAAAAGATAAAAATAAGCCATGCACCCAGGCGCTGACACCTTCTCAGGGGAAGTGGGGCGTCTAATACGACCAAAGCCACATCAACTGATACCTCCTCAAGGCACAGCAATGCCTCGACCGCTCCATCCTCCACAAATCTTGAAGCCCAGGAAGATTTCAAGCACTCTCAGAAGAAGAACCAGAAACAAAATCTGCACGACATTGCTCCTCGAAGTACTGTGAAGTCCAGCGGCTCCGGATTTTTGAACCGAGCTGGTCGAACCTTTTCTTTTGGCGTTCAGAAGAAGCATAACGCTTCGCCCCCAAAGATCGACAACGATATTCCACCCGTCCCGACTATTCAGCAGGATGCTTATGGTGGAAGATCTCGAGGCCTAACCGAATCCACAACCAGCACTGCTACACCGCCTAAATTGGAAATGGAGAACAGTGGTATGGACATGGGAGGAGATTTTGGTTCCATGTTTTCTTCATTCGATAAGAGAGCGAGTGTCGCTACTATGAGGGCCGGCGGTTCCGACGCTCCTCGATCCCTTACCAGCAACCGCCCCATTCAACCTCCCCCTCTGAGCATCAACAAGGTCAGCAAGGTCGAGCAAGAACATGAGACATGGGGCCGAAACGAAGACGATGGCCTGCTTGGCCCTCAGCCTGGCTCTCCTGAACTCGACGACGTGCCGCCCCCTGTTCCACGCCACCAGAGTTCTTTCAAGACCTCAAGCCGACCGTCCGATATCATCGAAGATGAAGACGCAAAATTGTTGCAGGATTCTATTGCGGTAGGACGATTGCTTTCCGAGTCTAGTACATCCAATGCTCCGTCTGGACGATACCGACGAAATGAAGACTCTTTCTCTTCTTTTGAGAGAAAGCCACTCAACTCTAGCTTCAACAGAGGCGACGACAACCTTTTCGAGGGAACCTCGGCCCATAACTCGCGCATCACCAACCGCTTGAACACGCGAAATCCTAGCCCACAGCGCAACAATAAGGTTATGACACCAGCCCAGTTTGAGAAATACCGAAAGGACAAGGAACGTCACGAATCGAGTGATGCAGCTCAGCAATCGACCACCAACGATGATGACGAAGACGAGATCAATTACGATGACGATGAGGATGAGATCGAGAAGTCCAAGCAGCAAGCGAAGCAGAGAAGAAAGCAGGAGGCTCATATGGCGGTATACCGACAGCAGATGATGAAGGTCACCGGAGAGCAACCCGATATGCACCCGCATGACCGTCCCGGCATGGTCAGCTCGATGAGTGCGCCTCAGCTTCATCTTATGAAAACACCATCACCCGGTCTTCCAGCTGGCGGTTCTGATGAGGATGATGATGAAGAGGTGCCTCTGGCTATTCTACAGGCCCACGGGTTCCCCAACAAGACCCGACCACCGGCTCGACTGAGCACCATGGGCTCCAACCCGAACTTGCGAGCATCTACGCAATTGGCACCACCACGACCTGGCTCAGCCATGGGCGAGAGCAACCAAAACCAGCGTCACTCGATGCTTCCTGCATTCGCTCGTGGTCTTCCTCAGGACCCTTTCGTGGGTGCCAGTATCTCAAAGCCTGCCATGCGTGAGTCCCTGACTTTCAGTGGCGGCCTTCCTGCTTCCGAATCTCAGCAATCTCTGCCTCCCGGTGGTTTGGTCGGTGTCATCGCCAACGAGGAACGGTCGAGGGCTATGCGACGTGGTGGCCCCAACGCCAACGGCCAAAAGTTTGTTCCCGGCATGAATGCGCCACAAGGGCCCCCATTCGACAATCCTCAAGCCATGATGAACGCCATGTACAATATGCCTGGCATGGGCATGTCGCAGCAGCAGATGCCTATGGCTCCGCCTCAACTAACAGTCGGAGATCAAGCACAGCTCCAGATGACACAGCAGATGTCCCAGTTCATGCAGATGCAGATGCAGTTTATGCAGATGATGGCTTCCAACAACCAGCAGCAGCAACCTGGCATGATGCCACCGATGCAACCTCCTTATGGCGGAATGTCCGCTACTCAGTCTATGAACGACCTGTCATCGCGGCATTCGATGATGCTCGAACCGACTTTGGAGCCTCCTCGCCGTATGGACGCTGGAATGCGTACCATGAGCATGGTCCAGCCCAGTTCAGGCGGCTCATTCTTGCCACCAGTTGGTGGTTACGCCGGGTCAATTCACGGCATGCCCATGGGTTACACCCCATCTATTGCTCCTTCTGAGCGAAGCAACATTGGCTTGCCTGGTCGCTACCGACCAGTATCTCAAATGCCAGCCGCAGCTGTCCCCGAGCCACACCGACGAACCAGCACCATGTCTGGGGCACTCGGCAACTGGAATGAACCCAAGACCAAGTCTACCATCAACGTGGTAAGCACTTCAGGAGATGGGTCGGACGATGATGACGAGGAGGGGTGGGAGGCCATGAAGGCGAAGCGCGATAAGAAGCGCAGCATGTGGAAGTCAAAGAAGGGAAGTGGATTTGGAACAATGATATAATCAAAAGGTCGATATCATCGAGAAATTATTACAAAAGAGATGGAGGTTAAGATTGGTTTATATGCTTTTATTTTTTTATTTTTTTTTGCATCTGGATATCCACAGGTTGGAATTGCTCAACCTTCGTTTGGAGAGCCCCGTACAATTGTATATTCTAGACAGTGTGGTTTTCACGAGGGCGTCGTGGGGAAAGATATGACAGGCACCGGCTCCATTGGGTTTGAGCCTGGCGCATGATAGATAAATCTTTATGCCGGTAATTGACTAATTGGGAGGTCACTTTTGAAACGACTTTCATCTACATGTGCGCATATCATCCATGCCTTGACTTCTGTTCATACGTGTTTATTCACAGCGTATCCTAAATATTGATTCTTTCATTTATACGTACATCGACTTTTTAACCGTCAATGGTACCGTTGGCCCACTCCTTTCTCTTGACTCCCATCTCAACAGCTGCCATACCCCAGTCCTCACCGTGGTTGTGGCCCTTACCATCAACACCAGCGCGAGCCAAGGCCTGTTCTTCGGTAAGGACGGTCAAGACACCAAGGATGACAGGCACACCAGTGTCAAGCTGCACGCGCATCAAGCCTTGACAGGTTGACTCAGCAATGTACTCAAAGTGCATGGTTTCTCCCTTGATCAGAACACCAACAGCAATGATGGCATCGAAAGCGCCGGAGGAAGTAGAGAGCGAAGAGAGATCGGTGGTAGACGAGGCCAGAAGGTCACCAGCTGAGGGGCCGCCAGTTGAGGTGCCCTGAATCTGGGAAGCAGAGAAGAGGCTGGAGAACAGTGATGCGTCAGCAATTGGCTACAGGCAGTCAGATACAATGGGAGGCTTACCGCTGGACAGCAATGGGGAGCTCCCAAGAGCCAGGGCAAGATTGGACGACAATGTTGGATTCCTTAACTCCAGCTGCCAGAAGCTTCTCCTTGGCGCCAGTCACAAGAGGATCGATGATGGTCGAGTTCCAACGCGCGTGGACGATACCGATGCGCAGGCCGGAGCCGTCGTGGTGCTGAGGAGAGGGGCCCTTGAGAGACATTGTGAAGAGGCGAGAATCGAAATGTTCAGATCGTGCGAAAGAGTGTAACTTTCGGCAATTAGTTTGATGCTGTCGTAGTGAGATCTGGTTAGGCAAGGGAATCAATGGTTTAAGTTAGTTTAAGGGCAAAGCAGAAGCTTGGTCTGGAGGAGGGACGCGGGGCTCCCAGCGGGGTTTGTAGGTCACGTCACAGGGGATATTGGGACAAGACGGGATGCAGGGACTGTTGAGGTACGTACCTGATCGCACCTTCTTAGACCCTTGCCCAGCTACCTACCTAGGTTCCTAGGTATGATGGGACTAAGGGGATGGGTGTTGTTTCCTTTCGTGTTAGTACAGTCCCCCGACTTGAGGAAGGAAGCACCATACGCTTTCAATATCATCTCCTTCTCTAAACGTACTCGACTTTTGATAAGCAGATAAAATGAGTCACTGCTCTTTAGAATGCTTCATCTTCTGTCATCTTCCTCATTTCTAAGTTAGTGCCCATTGCATTAATTCCTCTTCTTATACATCTCCACCAGCTTTATCCACATGATCCATGATCCGTGTTAGTCTCTCGGGCAACCAGATGCCGTGTCTCAATGCACCATAAACGCCGTGAGAGCTCTTATCACACAATTCAATCTTCACGAAATCCTTACCGCCATAATGTCAATATTTCAATTACCGCCATCTACGGCACATCGCTTGAGGTCTTCGCATCAGCTTCCTGATGCTCACTCTTTCGTCAAAGAGCTCGTGGACAACAGCATCGACGCAGGTGCTACTTCTATCGAAATCACAATCTCGCCCAACACTGTTGATAAGATTCAAGTCCGAGACAATGGATGTGGAATACAGGTTGAGGACTTCCAATATCTGGGTCGTCGGTCTCATACAAGCAAACTTCGGCACTTTGATGAACTTCACCAAAACGGCGGTAAAACACTAGGTTTCCGTGGCGAGGCCCTTGCCAGTGCGACTGAAACGGCTGCTATCAAAATCACGACTCGAACAGCTCAAGATCCGGTCGCATCACTTCTTCAACTGAAAGAAAGGATTGGAGGCTTCAGCAAGAAGCAGCCAGTATCTGGCCCAGTTGGAACAACTGTTCAGGCTATAGACCTGTTCAAAAAGTTCACCGTTCGCAAGCAGACTGCTATCAAATCAAGCCGAAAGTCTCTTGCTGAAATCCAACGTCTTCTGGAAAGCTACGTGATAGCGATCCCTGATCTTAGACTCTCCTTCAGAGTTCTCAATTCTTCAAGCCAGGCCTGGTCCTACTCTCCTTGTTCACTATCCAGCACGCAAGAAGCGATCACTCAGATCTTTGGCCATGCTCTTACCGCTCAGCTTATCGAGGTATCTTCTGACACCAGCACCGAGGATGATGTAGCAGAAGAACAACCACGAGTTTTGAGAATCACGGCCCTTTTACCTCGACCTGACAGCGACGTCCAGGTTATAAAAGGCAAAGGAGCCTTTATATCGGTTGACTCAAGACCTGTTTCCTCTGCCAGAAGCACAGGCAAGAAATTAGTATCTATCTTCAAGTCAAGCATTTCCAAAATCCTCGGCTCGCCTGGCAGTTCACGAGCGCCTTCAAATCCCTTTGTTCAAATCAGCATCCAATGTCCGCCAGGCTCATACGACCCAAATGTGTCGCAGCTGAAAGATGAGGTGATGTTCAACAACGAGCCGGCAGTTCTCGATTGTTTTCAAGCACTTTGCGATACTATTTACGTTAAGAAAGCCCCGGTAAGCACGACAACACAGAAAAAGTCGACACGAGCAGGAAGTACTCTTCCACCCACAACCGAAGCCTCGAAAACCCCAAGAGCAAACGCAAGAGAACTGAGTACACCCAGCAAAATTAGACGCGAACACCTGCCAATCGATGAGGATCCTATGGGGCCCCTTAATGACGGGTTCGAAAGGTTGCTTCTCGAAAATCCAGGCACACTTGAAAACGGCGGGAGCGCTGTTCCTCACACTTTCACTTGCTCTCCTTCACCAAGCAAAACTCAGCATCGAATCAACAACGTGATTAGCGACGCTGATCAAAGTGAAAAAATTCAACAAATGATGAGGTCGAAACTATGCATCAATCTTTCGCGCAGGGATAGTGATTCTACCGACGTGGACGGTACAGATGGGCTGGTTCCTGTGCAAGTGACACCTCGCCGATTGGCCTCGCCTATTAAAGAATCACTTCCTTCTCGTTCTCGACGTAGGCCGCTAGCATCAGGTCGTCGCTCTGAAGATATTGGTTCCTATTTCCGACCAGTGTGGGATGAGCCAATTGTGATTGCAACAGACGAGACCGCCACGCCTGAGAACACAACACTTGAAATCGGTCTGGCAAGCTCTTCTGAGACTAATCGTCGTCCGCTGAAGGAACTGACGCAGTCAGAGGTCAACACGTTTCAAGAAGAAGAGGAGGAGGAGGAGGATTTCAGCGACAGTGAATCACTGGTTGAACTCCCTCTTGCCGGGCCACATCTTAGCCCATCTCCTCGCACATCACCACGCCGTTTGGCTCGTGCTCGTATGCCAAACAGCCCCTTCCAGCCCCTCACAAGGACGCAACAATCCCCCAGCTTCAACGCAGGGTTGGAACTGTCACCAAACTTGCAAACCCCTCCACCATCGGACCCCAGACGTGCCGACAACCTGGCTCGTCGTGATTCACGACGAAATTCTGCCAACATCATGACGAGGGGTCAGCAGTCATCTCAAGGCATTATGGCGTCGTCAGTAAGTAGGATTGGTGAACATGGGCCGAGGCAAGGTCGCATCCTTCTGGGAAGTGGCCCGACTGCATCCAACGACAGGCGTCGATCCGGACAAGTTGGGCGTGGAAATGGATTGGCCAGCCGAAGAGCCGCACCGGCCAGTCGCGACAGCTCAGACGTACATCTGAAGGATTGGTTGCACAACATCAATACTAACTCCGAGGACCAAGAAGGTTAGCAGTCTTCTGGCCACGGACAACTCTTATCCGATGCATATATGCAGCCCAGGCTAGCTGATCAGGAGCCGCAAAGCCAAATGCACTTTCAAGAAGCTATTGAACAACAAGATGATACCACATGGTCCCATTCTCTACAGGCATTGTTAATAAGGACACCACCGCCACAAAGAGAGAGGTCAGACAACAAGACTGAAAATGAACATTACGAAGCCCCGGACCACAGCCACGATCAGTGCAATGAGGACAGCAACCCGAGGTCAGCAAAGCGGCAACGGCGTCACTCGAGCATCGCAACTTCAGCGAGCGAAGAGTCAGACCCTAGACGCCTTCTCATCAAGAGACAACGCATTTCCACAGAAGGAGGACGACTGAAACGCATTGCGTCGAAGAAATTGCCATTCGAAACAATTCCTCAAGTTGATCTCACAGTGAAACTGTCTATCAAAGCTAGGATTCGAATGAGCGAGCTCAGAATTGCAGCTTGGGAATTCATGAGTTCAGGCCAAGCAGCGGAGCAGGATTCTGCCATGCAGTTCAGCAGCATGGAAGAAGTTGACAGAGTGAATGAGCTGCTAAAGAACACCACAGAGACATGGTTGGGTGAGGATTCGTCGATCGAGGTGGATTACATTCTACGAACTGGAGCAAAGGGTAAATCCAAGGCGTAGTGTTCTGGGCTGAGGCGAAATGGAATGGTGTCTACTTTATCGTGGGAGCTTTACGATTTCGGGACTTTCAGATTTTGCAATTCACATGGGACAATGAAATGAAGACAGAAGGAAGATGAGAATATTTGCTTGCGGAGATTGCTTGTACGACTGAACGACTAATTAAGGAGACCGAAGATAGATATGAAGCTACGTAGATAGTTGACTTAACTTAATAATGGAACTAAGGCTGAGGCTAATGATGTTTGAATCCAAGACAAATCACCCCGATTTAGTTAGTGACATATGCCGGGAGTCGCGGCTAATTCTGAAACACGGCTGAAGTGAATTCTCGGATTGGGGTATGCAAATCATCAAGTAGACGGCCTAGACAGCCTAAACTGCGACCAAGATGAGTTGTTTAAAGGTGACGGGATGGGATGGGTGGGGAGTAGAGAACACCAGCGATGCGATTAGGCAGGCAATGGTGTATCTGAAAGACCGGCGTGCTGGTTGAGTGTTACGGTACCTGCCCATATGCGTATTCCAGTGTGCAGGTACAAGTATCGTGAAGCGCATTACACGTCTGGTGATACAGTCGAGGAGTTGCCATGCAAGCTTAGTACGGTACAGTATGCTGATCTCTGTGCGCCAGCCGCGTGGCCTCGTGGGGATTCAGGCTTGCGGCGTGAGGCACTGTACTGTACAGCACACCATGGCAGCCCAGAGGGAGCATGATATCGAGGTATGTGTGTACATGTCAAGTTGGTGGCTGATTGGGCTTGGGTGTGTCACTGAGACTGTGCTAGGGCCGAGAGGGTGTCGTTGATGATGAGGGTCCAGTCTGGACGCAGGGGACCACCGAATACATCATTGACGGGACCTTATGATGCTGATAATTGATTTGTTTGGTGATGACCTGGCAAAGTATGGAGATAATTACTATATATGCTTATATGTATGGGGTTTCCAGCAATGTGGGTGTTAACATGTGAAGTATCGACAAGGGAATGACTTTATAAGCTTGGAATTTGCTGGAAGGCGTCGGCGATATGGATGGATGGAGATGAAGTGGATTGGATGGATAGATCTGCAAGGTAAAAACCAGATTCCTGACGATTTGAGGGATGGTGGTGACAAGAATTGCAGGGAAATTACTCTGTAATAGTAAGTTGAATAGAGATGCGTTGTAATTCCAAGATGATGGATCCATGAATAAGAAAACTCTCGGGTATGTTGGAAGATTTTAGAGGAGCGCATGGGTTCAATGGATGGGATGGATGTTTCTCAAAATAGCCCACCCGGCTGGTCCGCCCACCTGTAAACTTTGGCACTAAGTTAAGTCAACCCTGGGCTCACCATAAACGGTCAGCGCATACGGATAGTCAGTCTAGGGCCAATCCAAAGTGAAGAAAAAGGGTCGCCAAGAAGGATGCGGAATTGTCAATGCTCATATCATCCATCAGCTCTAATTCCAGTCTGTCTACAGCTCGTATCTGCACAAGAATCTACCTAGTGAGTCAGTGGATCGACTTTCCAAAAAAGCGCGTGATGTTTGGTTTGGTTTGCTCAGATCTCATGAAATCAATGAATTCAGCTGCTTGAGCTAAGAGATCGAGTTCTCCATGTGTCCACTGTACAGGTAACTGTAGGTAGTAAGCAGACATGGCATGTCGTCCAATAGATTGTCTCAAGATATGCAACTGGGCGGTTCATATAAATAGGGCCCAGCAGTTGACATACAACGTTGTATGAGAATGAGAGTATTGTGCTGGTAGTAATATGCGCTCCGTTCCACTGTGGCTGGGGCTGACCCGAGATCGCCTCCTTGCATGGCCTGGCTCATAAACGAGGAATCCATTGACCCTATATTTCAAAGTGTTAATTTAAATTCGAATCCTTTATCGGAAAGTCAATGATGAGGAGTACATGACACCGACTATTTATCCTTATATCATGATGCACTCATGATGGATACAGTAGGGACTGGACTAATAAGAGCATTTTGAACGGCCGTTGCCCATTTTAGTAGCCCGTCGAAATGGAAGCTCCATCTCGGATTGAATCTAAGCCGCACGCCATGACGTTTTGTACCAAACGTCACAGGCTAAGGCAGATTAGGATTGGAGGGGGGATTTGTTTTACGAGAATTGCAGGAGAGAAGTACCAGGTACTTGTACAAGTCAGCTCTTTCTCACTCTTGTACCTCAACCTCAGCCATAACATGATTTTATTTCAGGCGCAAACGAGTCTGCAGTACTAATTGACCTGCAATAATTGACGCTATTAAAAATACTCCTGCAAAGCTGAAGCGAGTATAACCGTTACGTAGCCTCGATCGTCGCACAAATTACCCTTCTCCTGATAAGCATTCATCGCTTCCATGGCCTGAGATAAAGATAGGACGGACAGTGGAGGCTCCAGCTCTTAGCGTCGACCCAGCCACAACGCCCAAGTTGGGATAAGCACCAAGAGCCGATGGCTCCAACAACCGATCCTTCCATCCATTCATTCCACACTCTCAAGGTCAGGTGTCGATATTTAATGATCAGGGTCAAGGGAATAAACTACTAAGTAGTGGTCCATTTTCTGACCAACCCTTACAATTAATAGAGGGGGGAAAAGACAGAAAATACAGGTACATGCAAATATACAGCAAAGAAACAACCCACTAATTTATGCTGCAGATCCTAACAGGGGGATCGTCAACACTTCACTTCCATTCACCTCACCTCAGTGACGGTAGACTAGACGGTTCCTCAGTCCTACCTGAAGGGGAGTCTAGTCCAGTCTTGCAGGTGCCTTCTAGCGTGTCTGGTGCTGTGGTTCTCCCCGTGCTGGGTCTGCAAGTACCAGGTACTTTCCACCCAAGCAGGTAACACCCTTGCCATTGCGGGTTCTTGCTCTCTTTCCTGGGTCTCCCCCCAAAAAAAGAAAACGAAACCCCATCGCAGTTCAGGATCAAGGCACACACGCAGAACTGACACACGCGCAGCACAGCGCAGCACAGCGCAGCACAAGCACAAGCACACCACTCTCTCTCACACTTCTGTCTGGGCTGGGGCTTGTTGGGTCCCTTTTACCCTTTTTTTTTTTTTGCCTTTCCCTTGCTTGCTGTGGTTGTTTGGTCGGATCCTATTCTTTTCTTTTCTTCACCACCCTATCCTCCCATCGGCCAAACCGTCAACCTTACTACTTACTTACTTTCTCACTCGGTCGCTCGCTCGTTCCATCGCTCGATTTGTTTCGCTTCGCTTCCCTATCCTGTGTTTCAAGTAGTTTCCATCAACATCCTTCTCCTACTTAGGTAGCTCTAGTAGCTTTCGCCATTCTGATCTGATCCGATCCGTGGTCATCTAAAAACGTATCGTCCGCTGCTGTGTCGAGATTTGCTTCCCTTGTTTGCTGGTTGGTCTCGAACCATCCGTCGGCTTACCCTACCTCGACAACCAAGATGATCTCAGTCTGAGCCACCACGAAACCCCCGATCCGACCTAATTCGAATTCGACTGCTCTCGTCCTGACAGCTTCAAACATCTCCCGTCCGCCCTGGGCTTCTAGTCCTCTGTCGGTAATACAGCCTCGAGTATCTCAGCTTTCTAGATAACATCACCTTGGAGCTATGCAGCCTGGTCTGGCCGGTCAACAACCCGTCGATTGCTGCTCTCGCACACGCCATCACAGCCTCGCTGAAGGTCTGCCTGAAAGGCGATATGTGGCACGGTCATCGAAACGTCTATTGTCTGGCTCTGTGCCTGATGCTCTCGCTACCGTAGATTCTTCTAATCACTCACATCATCAGCGACATTCCACAATTATGTCACCACAAGTTGCCCCTCGACAAAGGGCATGGGCCCCTCGACATAGCACGATATCGCAATTCTCCAAAAGTATATTAGTCGCTTTTCTCATCGCCCTGCACGCCGTATCGCCTGCCTATGCCGTGAGGATTCCTTTTACAAACTGCCTTGGCGACGCCTACCGCTTATCCGAACCGACGAGACTGCAATGGGTCCCCTTATACGCCGATGCCGTGTTCGATACTGAGGACCAAAAACACAATCTCCGTGTTATCGTGTGGGGCAATGTCACAGGTTCTCGAAATGGCAGTTCGCTGCCACTACCGAGTGATGGTTCTTGGAACGACGACAAAGATATCAATGGCAAAATTTCTCAGCTGCCCGAGAGCGGCTACCAGACTGCGACGACCTACTTCCCCAAGGTGAACTTTTTGACCTATGTTCCATATAACCAGAGGTTTGATTTCTGTAATACTTCATTGGTCAACAGTTCATGCCCTCTCGGTCCCTCCTTTGAGGAGGTTGATTACAGGTACGTTTAGTCCAGGGATTTGTTCATGATAATTCAACTGACCATAATCTTATAGTGATGCGTACAAGTTGCCTTCTATTAATATCACCTGGGATGCTTACGCATCATATGCCTTCGCGTCTCTGGCACCGCGCATGTCTATTGTTGATGGAACTCGGGCTGCGCCAGAGATCGGCTGCGTTTCCATGTCTGTAACCCCGGATCTTGGGGGCCTTTCGTGGCTCCTCAAGTTTCTGCCCATGATTGTGCTGCTCTTCACAGGTTTCGCAGTCGTTTTCTCCTCCATCTTCAGTCCCTGGGGCTCAACCGATATTTTTCACTGGACCTCCAACTATGGACGCGATGTCGATTTACTCCGCCTCGTCACCCCTGGATTTGGCGACTGTCTTCAGTATATCCAGTTTATTGCCCTGAGCGGCAGTCTCACCCTCGATTACCCTGGCTTCTATCAACCCATCGTCAGTCAGATGGCATGGTCGACCCTGATGTTCAACGAGAGCTTTGTTGCCGATGCGCCTTCGTGGCAAAGTGTCGTAGATGGTATCTATGTCACAAACGGTACCTATGGACTCCAGGAGCTTGGCCAGTTGGTTGGCATGGCAGAGAGTCAAGATATCTGGGCCGGCATGATGGTTTGGTTATGCGTGTGTATCGCCTCAGTGACTGTGCTGGTCCAGGGAGGATTCGCAGTCCAGTGGCTATTTCGCAAGATCAACAACACACCTGAGGAAGATTTGCGCTCCAAGAACCTCCCCTTCTCCGTCGGAAATGCCGTCCGCATCGTCTTCAACTACTTTTTGTTCCCTATTGTCGCCTTGTCATGCTTTCAACTCGTCGTCGCGGGTGACTCTCCGACATACACCATTGCCCTCGCCGTCGTTACTCTAATCTTTCTTATTATCTTTGCCTCATACCTCTTCTATCTTATCATCAAGACAAGACCTAAATCTGTCCTCTACGACGACCTACCTACAGTACTTTTATATGGTCCTCTGTACAATACTTACTCTGATGAGGCTGCTGCATTTGCTCTCATTCCCGTCTTCTTGACGTTTCTCCGGGGCATTACTGTGGGTGCAGTTCAACCAAGTGGCATCGCTCAAGTGGTGCTGCTCGCCATCTGCGAAGTAATTCACATCCTCACAATCCACGCTTTCCGTCCATTCCAGCGTTCAACAGCGATGAACGCCTACCACACACTTTTTGGTTCTCTTCGTCTCGTTTCCATCTTACTAATGGTAGCATTTGTGCCTACACTCGATGTCTCTGAGGGTGACAAGGGTTGGATTGGGTACATGATTTTGGGAATTCATGGTACGGCTCTGATCTTTGGCTTCTTCCTCAACGCTTTGCAGACCATCATTGAAGTTACGGCTCGCATGCTCGGCGCCGGTGGAGACGATGCTCGAGGTTTGACCCGAGGAGGACTTACAAAGATCTTTGGTGCACGACAGTTGTCTCGCCGCAACACACAACATCGTAACACTGGCCCATCCCGAGCCAGCCAGTTGTCGACCGCCGCAATGTTGGACATGGACGATGGTGGCAAGTCAGGATATGTCATGCCTAGCGGAAGGGTTCGTAGCGAGTCTGGTGCTAGTCTCGGTGGATTCATGAACCCTCGGCATAGAAGCAGCTCGGCCCTCGATAGCATCGACGTCTACTCTGGTATGCCGCAAAACATTGACAGCAACAGTTCCTATATGCCCAATACGCCTGGAGAGAGGAGTACGTTTTCTTTCCTGCCCTCCCCCAACGCTGCCCGCCATCACCCCACACAGTCGATGGACGCCGCCGACCCCTACTACCGACCCCCCAGAAGACGACAGGAGATGACGAACGAATCTATCCATTCAGAAGGAGCTGGCGCCATTAACCCAACAGACCCCAAAAGGCTCAGTCAACCTGGAGGCTTGGGCGACCCGGCAGACATGGGCGCGGATATTTCTCGAGGGGCAACTCCAGCTCCTCCTCCTCCTGCTGGATACTCGCAAGTCAGCATTCCTCCAAATCGACCCGATTATGCTACTCGGGAAGTGGACTTTTACTATGGTGTTCGTGGACCAGCCTTGAATTCAGATGGACCGGGTCGAAAACTTGGAACTGGGCCTGCTGATCCCACAGGCCCTGTGGCTACTGCTTCAGGATGGTTCCGAAACCTGTTTGGTGGCAAGACGAAGGAAAAGGGCAAGGGTTTCGAGGTTGTCAGAAGCTCGCGAATGCCCCCAGCTATGATGGCTAGGAACGGCGGGGAGTCACCTCCTGAGGGTATTCCTGTGGCTATGGGCGTGCTACGAAACGGGCCCATCGACTCTGATGATGATGAGCCTCGGCCCAGAAGGTCACCTGGTCGACAGCCACAGCCGCAACAGAGTTCTCTTCTAGACGACAACGGTGATCCCCACGACTCTGAGCCAGAGAGCCCTACTTTGGAGCGACCACGACGCACTTTCAGTGCTGGAAGCGAGAGCTTTCCCAGGGAGCCGAGCAAGTCTTTATCCAAGGCTCCACATATCGCATTGCGCGAGGCTGAGGACGATGCCCCAGAGATCCCTCGCAAGAGTTCCAAGCGTGCGTCGGGCCATTTCGCAGGTAGCAGTGATCACAGCCACAGCCGGGCACCGTCACTTAATCTGATGAACATGCCTGGGTCAACAATATCTTTCGAGTCGCAGTGGCGCGATCATGATGCTCCAAGTCGCGCTTCGAGTCACCATCGAGCTACACTATCAGCATCTTCACGGCTGCCATTCGAGCGTACAAACTCTCAGAAGCGATTGTCGTCTAACTCATCTATAGAATTCCCGGGCGAATTCTCCCAAATCGACTTCGGCCCGTCGATTGATGACCGACCCGCCAGTTTTGGCATGGTATCACAACATGGTGTCAGCCGAGTTGACCCGTTGCACCGTGACGTGGATTTACTCGGCAGCTCTGCTGAGCTTGTCGAAGACCCTCCCGCGAGACCTCGTACTTGATCTCGTCACTTCTCTTGGTGTCATGATAAAATCAATGGTGTACTACTCCCCTATGCCATTGCCCGCCATGACAAATCTCTCAATACAACATCTCTACACCCTACTTGGGTCACATCTTAATACTATTTTCTTTTTGTTTGGGTACCTTTAGGGTTAAACGCTATGTACATGATCTATAGATCAAGGTCCACAAAGGATCTTGCACATGAGCACACATGCTCACCTCTCTCATTTCTTTTTTGGTTATGAATCAGGCATATTCAATCACAGCCGCGGAGATTTGCGGAGGAACTCAAGCTACGAAAGTACAAGCGAAAGGATAGGCGTTTTACATGGATTTTCGTGGCATCTTCGCTCTGACTGAGCCTGTTTATCTTCTTTTCTTTGCGTATTAGGGATTTGTACTCTTTGAGAATGTCCATACTAGCGTTGGCGTAACAAAAAAAAGCAGGTCCAAGGAGTGGAATTGCACAAGGGGTGGTTGGTACCGAAGCTCATGTTATCTACTGGTATTATTGTAGATTGTGTGGGAAACGTGGTTGGCATATATAATTTTGGAGGCGATGTCCTGTCGAGGGTCTGGATATATCCAATGGACGAGGATTTACAGACAAAATCCTAATGAGAAGTTGTAATGATATTCGCAATGCGCTTTGTGTCTCACATGTGTTTTGGGTTTTGCTATATAGGCCGTGCTGAAGCAGGGTCTATTCTATCCCATACTTCTTCTGCTGTGATACCTGCATTGACTACTCGTTTCGTTGAGTGCAATCTACATTAAAGTAAAGCGTTTCTATATGTCTCCGCTACTCTTTTATCATTTCACTGTGATAAATCCAATACCGGATCGGGCCTTTCTCGCCGCTTCCTTGAGCGCTTGCTCTTCGACATCAGTCCATTTCACACTGAGGTCGTTCCAGTTCTTGCCGGGCGTGTTATACTCCTTGCGCCACTGAGCCTGCACTTTCTGCAGACGAGACATCTCGCGAGGGTCGCCTGAACCGCTGTACAACATGAAGGCGGTGCAGGGCGGCAAAGCATCATAGATCCGTTGGATGCGCTCTGTGAGACGAACCAACGCCTGCTCAAGCTGCGACTTATCTGAATGTTCCTCAGCCTCCTCGGGGGGACCGCCGTCGCTGTTCGTGTTTTCGACACGGTTGCGGTTCCACCAGCCTTGAAGGGCCTCAAGCTCTCGCATTCTCGCCCAAACAAAGTCAACCCCGCCACCACGAATCTCAAGACCATCCTCATCTCCTTGTACAGCACGGATTACGTTATTGGTCACATCCTCGTCGTTCTTGCAGCCAAGCTGATGCGTGGCGCCGGCTCCCGCACCCTTGGAAGGGTCGCCCCAATCAATAGCGGCGCTCGTCTTGCCGACTTCAAGGCCTCCCGCAGCGCCCCCTTGAGCCTTGTATGCGGTTCCAGCCCGTGCAAGACGACGGAACATATTCTCTCCTTGAGAATCAGATGTACCCCAAGACTTTCCCTTTTCGCACTTTTGCTTGACAAGATCGAGGCAGGTCTTGGCGTCCTCGATACTGTCATGGCCATTTGCGCCACCTTTTTGAATTTCCTTTGATAAGTACTTCTGTGCAAGCCACTTCAAAGACGACTTGAGGGGAGGTCCACGAGGATGAGGGTAAATGATGGAGGTGTCGATGATGAAAGGGTGAGAGATGCGAAGAGCCTTGGTGTCTGACTCCAGAGAGTGGCCTATTAGAATCGTTCGAGGGGTCAAAAGCTCGAGGAGCTTCTGTTGAATGTCATGCAGCGTAGTTGTTACAGGTGCAAGCATCTCTTCAGTGATGCCAGAAAATTGGGTGACGTAGTCGATAATAGGTTTATCAGGCTTGACAAGCTCGTCGAGGACCACGGTGCCGAGCCAGTCGACTATGCTAATTCGCGTCAAGGAGAATTCATTTTCCCCAGTCATGCACATCTCGCAGTCCAGGGCCAAAACATCTCGTCCTGCCGTGACGCTGCCCTTCTGGATCTCATCAGCAGGGGGTTCTCCGTCCTCGAGTTTGTCCACATTCGTGATCACCCAACCGGGAGGTAGAACAAACTGATCCTTGGCGACACCTTCCAACATAGCTGGATGAACTAGGTAGCCGTTGTCACTCAAGTCATCGACGGTGCAAAGGAATTCGGTAATGCGTGTCCTCTCGTTCTTCCAACCTTGGGGTTCGGATGCTGGCTTGGGTCCCTTCTTCTGCCCACTCTTCTCCTTAGGGGCAGGAGCAGTCAGGAAGGCCGCCAGCGGCGAGTGCATCTTTCCATGGCGATCGTCACCGGGGGTCTTAACAGGCCACAAGTGTGTGAACATCTTTGCAAAGGGCTGCAGAGCTTCTGGTAAACGGTCCTCTTTCAGCTCCCTAGGATAATAGTCGTCGGGTGATGTGGCGACAGTATTTCCTCCCTTGTCGGTATCGTTATAAGTGTCGAAATCAACTGTGCGCTTGAACATGGCTTCCTCAACGCCGGGTATCATTATAGCCACAATCTTTCGAAAGGCAGGACGATGAGTAACGCCAATCCATTGAGGACCAGCACCGTCGGCAAAGATATAAGTCACAAGATCTCGTAGATGAGTAACGTTGATCTTGGACTGAAGTCGTGCGTTGGGCGAAAAGGCGATTGTAGGATAGTTCTTGCCTGGCTTGGGAAGCTTTTTGAGCTTCTTGGTAGCTCGCGAGACGACCTGCCACTCTCCCTCGTCATCGGCCTCATGCGGCTTGTCACGCTTGAGACTACCATCGCTTTGTGTGGAAATCTCTTTCTCAAGTGTCGCGACCGCGGTCGTTACGGGAACACCGTCCTCAAATTTGACTGGGGCCGCATCTTGCTGCTCGCTGGAGGAAGCTTTGTTGGTGTCGAGAACTGAGTCGGCTCCTAAGACGTTAAGGGTTTTGTCGACGAATGATCGGGCGGCTTTTCTCTTTTGTTTCTTACCCATGATGATTTTCTGCGAGCGCAAATAATGCGCCGCTAAAGACAGGGACGTAAAAAGATTGACGTCGTTAAGTCGTAAAGTCGCGAAGTTGCAAGGAAGTAAAAATGATTGGCGATCTAGTTGAGTGCAGAAAGCATTTGCCATGCGAAAAGGTACGTACCAGATATGACCGGGCCCGGGCAGTCGCAGATTCCCATTTTCTACGGAGACATGGCGGAAGGATAACGGAAAGTGGGGGGAAGTTAATCACTGCAAATCGACCAGGAGTGAGTTTCTACTTAGGTTCAACATATCATGGCCAGAATATTCAATACTCCTATTACTTCTATGCAAAAGTACTCAGGAAAGCAATTGCCATTAATTTTAACTCAAAACTAATATAAGACTCGTGACCAAACCAAACTCCAATCCGCCATGCATGTTGCGCAACGCCTAAAAGTCACAGAAACCAAAGAATCTGTGCCCTATATGAAATGCATCATTTGTTCATGATGGTCGTCAAGAAATTAAACAAACGCCTCGCTCTTCTCATGCCGTTTCGTGACTCTTTCACTTCTTGTTTGGATCAACGTCCTCGCCAAGCTCCCAAGGCTTGCGAGGGTCGACATAGGTTGATATTCGCTGGTCACCCCATCGGGCTCCCACCGTAACCCAGACATGCTTTTGCGGCGCATGGCTGCTGATGGTTTCTCTGTGTCCACCCCAGCGGAGACGAGACTCTCGACTCATCTGACTGTTGCCTAGGCCTCCATTTGTGACCCATTCCCTGACCACATCCCTGATAAACGAAATCTTCCTGCGGAAATCGTTTGCGGCCGGAATGCCCTGCAGCTCGGGAGCAATTTCGAGCCGTGTTCGCGCTGGGGTTTTTGCTGAACGACTAGCACGTGGTGCAGCAGGCTTAACGTGAAAGTTCAACAATGTTTGGAGAGGATACGACAGCATTGCCCTATCATCAAGAGCAGCGGCACCAATAGTGCCGGTTGCAGCAAGTCTCTCTGCAGCATCTTGAGGAAGATGCCAGAAGTGGCACCATTGTCCTTGGGCATCAAGAACGATCTTGGTGTGGTCGGGAAAGTTAAACTGTGTCGGTTAGCACATTGTGGTCGTCAATTTCTCTGATAATTACTTACTTGGAGGTGTCCGTCGCAAAAGACCCAGCATCCAACGTCTCCGAAACGCTGGTAAAAGGTAACTAATTCGGCCACTGTGCCTTTTTGTCCTGGAGATATGGCACCAGCTGGGTCTGTCTCTTCAACAGGCGCAACGTCGTCCCGTCCATACGCGATCATGTAGTTGGCAAACTTCTTCCAAAGGATGATTCTTTCACGCTTTCGATGCTGGAAGATATCCTTACCAGGCTGCATTTTGCCGGCAGTCCCATCCTCGTTCACAGATACGCGGAACTGCTCAGGGGAAACAACCACTTCGGCGAGTCCAGATTCACCATTGTTCTCAAAGAACTTGATGGGCTCGGTCATGGGCAGAGGTTGGCTTCTGTCTCCGTAGGTCTCATCCTCACGTCGAACAATGTGCCTCTCTGCACCACGGATGAAGACTCCCGCGGGAGGAAGCAAAGCTGCCTTTCCATTTTCCGTGGTTGGGATATCTCGAAGAATGCAACCCACGCTACCATCGTTCAAAATGTATCCTAGACCAAACTTGTTGGTGTAGTCAACCCACTTAACAACTACATGGGGGTGAGGCGGTGTCACCGAGCTCGACTTGACAATAGCAGTCGTTCTCGAGTTGAGGGCTCGCTCCAGTTCCTTGTCAAGGGAGCGTAAGCGGTCCAATATCATGTCGGGCTTTGTACCCGTGATTCTGGACTGTCTTTCAGAGGAACTGAATAATGTTGCGGGACGCATGTTGGTCGTGTCTTTCTTGGGAGGTGCAGCCGGTGCGGGAGGAGCAGTAGTGGCCGGAGCAGATCCTTGACGGTCAAGCGTAGGTCTATCAGACAGCTGACGCTCTGGGGGTTGCTGGGAAGCTGCCCTGACCGGAGGTGCAGATCGAGTGGAAGTTCGTATAGTTTTGCCTGCAGGCTCGACAGTTGCCCTTGGAGGACCTTCTCGGGGCAGTTCCCTTCGTGTCCTCGTTCGTACGCTCTGAGAAGCCGAAAGTGTGGGCTCAGGCGCTGGGCGAGGCTTCGTAGGCAGAACGGATCCGGCTGGCCTATGTTGCATTCTTTGTTGCGCGGCGAAGCTCTGCGGGGGCTGGCGTAATAAGCCTACTGGTGCCCTTTGACTAGCAGAAAGAGGATCCTCAGTCGCTATACTTGCCTGGGCCGCCACGGACGCTGTATATCTCGCCTTGATCTGCTGCTGCTCCTTCAGCCACTCTTCAAATGGCCTGTACACGATGCCCTCCTCAAGAGGAATCAGGGGTGTCAGTCCAGCCTTCTCCTCGGCTGCCATCTCCTTCCAGGTCTGCGTGTGAACAACCTGCACTGGTGCAAATGGGCCAATGCCACATTCTCGGCACATGTCCTTGAAATTTCTGTACGATTGCGCTTGAAGTGAGCTGCTCATGCGACTGGCGTAGAATTCTTCACGCTCCGGTGGGACCTCTCTCAGGCGGGGGGTCATCTCTGCTTCGGTAGGCATATAGCCACAGGTGAAGAAGGGGTGCTGAATGATCTCTTCCGGCTCCGGTCGGCTTTCGGCGTCTTGAAGCATGTTGGCAACTAGCTCCTTAGCTTCCTGGCTGATGTATTTTCGAGATGTCTCTGCGGACGGCCAATCGTAGTCCCTCTCTCGAGCTCGGCGGTAGATTTCATCAGTAGTCGAAGACTGGAACGGGGGTTTCGATGTGAACATGGCAAACCTTGTGATGTTAGCTTCGCAGATGACCAGAAACCGTTCAACCTTACATAATGATGCCCAGACTCCAGATGTCGACCATGTGGTCATGGCCCTTCTTTCCCTTCTCGAGAATTTCAGGAGCAATGTAGTTTGGTGTTCCGCATAGGGTGGTTCGACGGATAGTATGCATATCTCTACCTGTCACCAGAAGAGCGGCAAGTCCAAAATCACCAATCTTCGCGTTCATCTGGGAATCGAGGAAGATGTTGCCCATCTTCAAATCTCGGTGAATAATGCCTTTGCTGTGCATGTACTTAATCGCACCAGCGATTTGGACCGAGTAGAAACGGACCTCGGGCTCGGTGAGGCCTTTCCTTCGCTTCACCATATCCATTAAGGAACCATTGGGACACAATTCGAGAATTAGGTAGGTGCACCTCTCGAAAGAAAAGGCTCGCAGGAACTGGACAACATTCTTGTGCTTCATCTTGGAGTGAATTTGGAGCTCGGTTTGGAACTAGACGTGTTAGATATGAGCCATGTGTCAAGCTTCCTCTAATTGCACATACCTTCTGTTCCATCTTGGGAGGCATATGGCTTTTGACGATCTTGAGGGCGAATCGCTGCTTTGTTGGGAGGAGTTGACCACTGTAGCATACAGCAAACCCACCCTTTCCCAGCAGTTTACCAACCTGGTAGGTTGCTCCATCGGGTCGATCGGTGCTTGGTGGCTCTGGGACTTCTGTTGGAGGAGGCGGAGGGTGTTCCTTCTCCTTTGCAGCCTTGAGTTGTGCCGCGGTCTTCGTTTTGATGTCGGCCATTTTCGGTGCCCGTTGGGCGTTGGCGTCCCTTGGGGACAAAGGGTCTATATCAGCGCCGCCTCGGGGCAGTAGCCTATGGGCCATTACTATTAAGACGCTGTGGAGCTAGTTTGCAAACTGCGAAAGGGTTGTCGACGGGTGGTGGCCAGGACGACGAGCAAGTTGTGGGATTAGCAACCGCGTTGGAAAATCGCGAAGATCAAACTACAGCAAATAATTAGAATTAGCAACACGCGCAGAATGCGGGCAGATTTGGCAGCCGAAGCGAGGATAATGAAAAAGACGGAGGCGTGGTAGTGGACCAGAACAAGGGGACGAAACTCACAAAACTCGCGACGACAACATGCAAGATAAGGAACAGTATTCGCCTGCTCACGAAACGAAAGCAAGAGCATTAAGCAATGCTAGAATTGTGATGATCCTTTTATCGGCCTGGGGGTTAGTATCTGCAAAAAGCAACCGAAGCGTGAAGCTGGACGGAGGAAAGTAAAGGTCGTCAAGCTACAACTGGTTGCGTTGGTTTGGTTTGGTTTGGTTTGGTTTGGTTTGTGTACTTTCCTACTGTTGCCGTTGGCAACCGAATAGCTTCGGTGGAGCGCGACTAGCCAATGAAATAACACCATACACTATGCAGACCACCGTCTGCCCAATTATAAGTCTGTAATCCTTGGACGACAAAGGATGGCCAGTATTTGGCCTTGGTTTTTGGGGGGCAGAGCGGTCAATTGGCTTAATTAAATCAATTTTCGCATTGTTGTTGTGGGTGTCTATCATCAATCAGTAAGTCATGGCTATCTAATTCTATATCGGAGATGAGGTGGTATGTAACAATAAAGATATTTACAAGGGTCATAACTACCTTGAACAAATTGTCTATTGCTTCAATTGTTCATGGCCAATGTCCCTCGGGCGCGCGTAGCATTTCCTCGCCAACACGTTTCCTGGTAGATCTCGTCGCCCAGCCGCGGGTATCTCCATTCAGGAACTCCGTTCATAGGTCGTGGGATCATGCGTTATGATGCCTGCAACGTTGGGAGTAAGGGCTGCTTAGTCTTGGGATCCTTTAGCTCACGCAGAGCCTCTTCCAAACTCTCGTATCTTTCTTTCTGCTTCTTTTCCGCCTCCTCTAACTCCTCCTCCCTCTTCTTGAGATCTTCTAACTTTCGGTCTAGCTCTTCTATTCGAAGTTTGTTCATATCGGGCTTCTTCGACGTCCTCCAAGTTTCGTAGACGATAAGAGCAATGGCCACTGAAAGAATAAAGGCATCACCGATAACGTCGGCGAACAAGTCTACTGCTTTGTTCTCGGGGAGCGATCTGAATTTTCGCCGCCAGATATTCTGGAAAGCCATGCTCCTCGTGGGGGCTTCGGGGGCCGGCTTCTGCTTGAGTTGATCATCGCGTTTCTGCTGCTCTTCCGTTTTGACTGTCGGTGCTTCGGCCTTTTCCTTGGCTCTGCGCTCGGCTTCTGGGTCTCGTAACAACGCAACCGACATCCGCATGTTCAATTGATGCATGTATTGTCCATATCGGGCGGCGAATGCTCGAAAACGAGGGTGATCGTGAGCTTGAGCTTTTATATGGTTCTGTCCCGCTATTAGTATCTGGCCTCCATGTGAGGAAGCAAAGTTCTTACCGCGCCATATTTGGAGACATGTCTCACAAGCAGTGATGCAAGCTTAAAGAGGGGGAGAGGGACCATAACTGTGGTGGTTCGGAATGCCTTGGCTTCAGAATGAGTAGGTAAGGTACTAGCTGCCTAGCCAAGTTGGTAGATGTTGAATATTCGGTAGTGGTGGTGGGGCTTTCACGATAGAGTGTCAATTGGCGTTTTGACGCATGTGAAACATCAAGCACGGCACAGAACCAAGGAGATAAGAACAAAAGCAGTAAGTTTTTTTTGGTTCAATTGAATCTATTTGGTATGAATTCCAGTACGCCAGTTGTCGTTCTCCAGCCCAGGTGGACTGCCGTCACTTCCGGAGCCGCGATGTTCCGCGCTGACATTGTAGAACTACTGCAGAGGCATCAAGATTCAGAAGCTTTCATTGGTTGATGGCATTTATTGAGTTACACTACTCAATCCATACATATTTATAAAGATAACCTTAGTTGCTTCTCAAGAGACTTCATTCTCTAACTATCTAGAGCTTGATATCTGTATTTTGTCCACTCATTTGATAAGGATTCGAAAATTCGCCTTTCGTGTCACACTTTCAGTATTGAAATATCCAAAGACTGTTGTAACTTCTAGTTGGCGATTAGCTACCCTAAACACCAGTAACTCAATGTGGATGTCTTCAGATTATACATGGTCTTAATTGATGGTGTTGGAAGGGAAGGGCCTTTTTCAATGTGATTGCGATATATTTAGGAAGGGGCCTCTAGGCAACATCTATGGTCTCCTTCAGTTTGCTAAATGTGCATGGCAAGTGCTGCACCTTGGTATTGAGATGGGCGAATCGCTCTTTCCTCATCTCGTTCTCTCTAACAAGATCTCATTCAATGCAGCAGACGCTCTCGTCACCTAGCTTTCTCGCCCAATGCAAAGCTATCACTTCCTAGTTCTGCGCCAAAGTATCGACCAATAATGTTTTCTTCGTCCTTGCGAAAGCGAAAAGAATGGGCTACAGTGATCCCCTTACTGAATACCAGCTCGTCTGCATGGAGAGGTTTGTAAAGGATATTACCTGGTTCTATGTTGCGCACTCTGCTTACACAAGTCTCTTAGAAACTACCCTGGAAACATGTGATATCACATTTCCTATCACATCGTTTAACACCACTCCGATTGATTTTAAGGTCATTCTCTCGTCGCTATCTGAGCTTCAGTCTGAACAGGGAAAAGCGCGCGTAGAAAGGCTGTTCTTGATGGAAGGGGGAGAGCATGTTGCTGTAGTATTGCTTTTGGACGGCGAGGATTCGATCTTGAGCTTTTCGAATCTCCAAGCTGAGTATGTGATTCAGGCTTGTGTTATCACTGATACCCATACTGACAAGTCGTACCCCCCAAGATGGCTATGTTGGGGTTATGCTATGCCAATGATCCCTATCACTACCATCAAAGCAGTACCTGACTGTCTTGAGTCACTCCAACGAGACTGCGACTACAAGCAGGCCCCGCTGAATACCGACATAGGCATGGTTAATCGAGACCTGGTGCGTTGGTGTGTTAGCGGGAAGCCGCTGTTGAAAGACCAAATTAATATCCTAACTGGTATCACGTCCGGGTTCCAAGACCTTGCCGACCTCTCTATTCTCCCAAGCGGACAGGCTGCCATTCGCGAATACTTGGGCGACGATGATGGTGGCCGGCTTGTATCATTTCTTATCAAGGGCTCTTCTGATATCCAAGGTCAAAGCTGAGTACGACGGGCACCCGAACTGCGATATTATAGAAAGATGCAGGGCAGCTGTTGGTTCGTACCTGTCCCAAGACACCGGGCGGTAACGATGAGCATGTGTACCGGAGGCTTGGGATGCATCGATGGATATAGTATGATCATCATCCAATGCAGAATGGAATCTTACCAACAATGGTCCAAGTCGATCGCCTGTCCAAAAACTCGGGTCCTCCAATCCTGGGACCAGTAGTGCTGTGCAGGTATATGGAGCAAAAGCGCCAGGGATAAGCCACAGCGACTGCAAGCTTAATGGATTGCATAGTTGACCACTCACAGTTCTTCGCCCAAAAGAGTCGGTGGGAGAGAACAGTCACAGGCTCAACTTATTGGACTTGCCAACCGTTGCGAGGACAGGGACGGTTATCCACCTGGCAACGCAGAGTGATGCATGGGCTGGCCTAGTCGATGAGTTGCTGAGCCAATCAGGGTGGTTTTGCAACCGCCGGGCGAGATTCTACTAACGATGTGATTTAGGTTCGTATGCTGATGGCGGGCCTCAAGCCTGAGTAATCGCGCACTATCGGACGACCCGAAGTCTTCGCTTGCACATTTGGGGGCAAATCACACATTGTGTGTATTGACCGATATGGTGACTGAGAAAAGACCAAGCCGCTATTATCTGAAATGGCATGAGCTGAGTGATTTCTGTCACTAGTTCGACGTGACGGTCAAGGAGCAAACGCAACGCTATCTATCAGGTGACGAACAATGCTTTTGGGTCTGATTTCGTCGGTCCCGAGCGGTAGACGATGTCGACAGCAAGCGCTTGATCCAAGTATTCGGATTCTCTACCAACAAACGAAGAAAGTTTGTTTCGAGAAGCGCTCTCATCTGGGGGCGGAGTGTCTCATATTTCATGTTTGTTGGACAGCCTAGACAACCGACCAACATGCTTACTGAAGCCGACCAACACCAGATCTGCCCTAGATCCTCATCTTCAGTGTTTGCGGACTTTGCTCAACCAGGCATGCTGTTGTGATGTATAACATCACTGGCACAAGCATTAATGGTTAAAAAAAGAAACCCGCCCAGCCCATCCTGCAAGCAGCGATTAAGTGAGCAGGGGTTAGAAGGAAATGGTGGGCGGGAAACGAAACCAGGGGTCAGGGGTCTTGTCTTCCAGCAGCAAGACAAAACGCTGCACGCGTCGGTTGTCCCAGCAGGTGCTTCATGTGCTGTCTATTGTCTCATAAGTTATAACCGATATCAGCCAAGCTTGGTGGAGTCCATCATTCTACAAGCAGACAGGATGGAAAGACTGCTGATTGAAATGAAGCTCATCAAAGGAAATAATGAAGCAATACAGTCGTCGACCCTCTCAGATCGAGTTCTTCACTCGTCTATCCAGGGCTTGCTTTAGCTTACTGCGCCAACCCTGGACCCCTGCCCCATCTCTGTCTACCCGCCCACGCTTCTTGATCCCACATGGCTGCTAAGCACGCCCATTGGCTTTTGCTCTGGCATCTAACCGCCGAAGTCAACACCAATTACCAGCCTCCGCACCACTACGGCCGGTGAGGTTATCGATGTTTGACCACACCTACCACCTAAACCTCCAATCATCAAGCTTCAGAGCTGGTAGCACCCGCTTTAGCTCCAAGTTGATGGATGCCGGACGTGTGACGAGCCGCTGCATCGCATAACTTAACATCCTAGCTCTTTTCTCCCCGCCTTTCCAGCGCACCGCCAGTCTTCAACCAGGGCGCTTGTTTGTCTGTGAGGCGAATACTTCAAGATGGTCCCGAGAAATGGCGTGGCTCGTGGCCCGACGGTCCATGTAGACCCTGGTTCATTTGTAGATGACTGCATTGCATTGGCCCAGGATTTCGATACTAGGAGAGAGGCGCATTTTTGCTGTCGTCGTCGATTTTCTTGGCCCTTTCTTAAAAGTCTCAGGCTGCCACTTACAGCCTCCCCTCCCCTCCCACTCCCTGGTCCATCTTGAAAACATTGTAACGTCTCAGAAAACTCCTGAGTATCATCGCCTCAGCTGCTCATACAATCTTGCGACTACAATACCCGGGACAAGTCGAAGCCGTTGCTTGATGAGACAGATTAGGCTTGAAATTACCGCCACCGTCGTTCCCAAAGACAACCAAACCGAAGAATACTATACAATGTTGGGTGCATGCTAGAAAGTCGAGAGCGTGGATCTGCCAACCAAATTCCGCGACATCATCGGCTTCACAACCATCCGTTGACATATCGTCTCACGCCAACGTCTCAAATTCCAAGCATCCGCTTTATCCACAATAGCTTGGCTACAACCTCAACCTTCAGCCTTAACACATCGTTATATCCATCAAGGGCCTCTTCTCTTCCTTGATATCATCCGCCTTCGCCCTCTGTCGTCTTTCTCTGATCATTCGCTTCTTTCTGTCTGCTGGTCTGACAGTTACCTTTCGTTTAATTTTTATTTATTTTCTTTCGTTTGTTATTTCCTTTCGCCGCTGGCCGGTTTGTAATACCACATCAAAACGACATCCGGCAGCAGTGTTGGAGCAGCATACGAATAGACGACGAATCAGTGAGAGGAAAAGACGACCGGTATTGTCTAAAAGGAAAGAAAGAGCAAGGCAACTTAATTAGGACTCGACAATTATCTATCCATCATGGGAAAGCTCATCAAGAACCACTGGGCCCGGCTCATCATCCTCAGTGCCGCAGCCTGTAAGTCAACCCTTCTTCTACGTCCCGGACTTAACTGACATCTTCGTCACAGACCAAGTTATAGCTGCCATCGAGTGCTTCTTCTATCCCAAGATCTTCTGGGACTTCCTTACACGCTCCCTAGACGGCGCAGTAAGACCTGTACCAGCTTTGCAGATAATAAACCTGATTCTGGGACTGGGCATGCTATGTCTTGAATGGCCTCTCAATTTCGTCGCTGGCACGGCTTTCCATCGCTCGTTGGAATTGCGTCTGGCGATCATTCCACTCACGGCACTTAGTGCTGCTCTCATCTACCAAGGCACAAATTCCGCCATCTACTACCTCATCGGCATGGTTGTCTATTTCTGGGGTTACAGCGAAGGAGAGGTGAGTCGCGAATGCCACCACGAGACATTGATCCCGGCTAACATAATTTTCCTAGATGATATGTGCAAAGCCATGGACACTACCTACCCGTGGACGCAGTGGCGGCCCATCTCGTGCATAGCCGCGAGTTCTCTGCATAAATGTATTATACATACTACAAAATACAGGAGGGGCACAGAACGAGTTCTCCGGCGAACATGTTCTGGGCTTCAATTTTCTCAGGAATAATGCACTACACATATACCCTTTCCGGCGTTTGGCGATCTCATGATATATACGACTACCAGTACTACACGTTGTACGAACGATCCTACACCGAGGAGTGGACTGGGTCTTGATTTAATTTTCAGCATTACATGCATGACCAGCGTGGTGGCGTTGGTAGAGGATACTAGGATAGGGAGACATTATTTGCCGTCGATTCCAGCGGAACGTCGTGTGGTCGGAAGGTGAAGGACCAGGCAAGACCAGCATTCACAGGCTCGAGAGATTCGCATAGGAGCCTGTCATAGTTCATGGGTCAAGTAGCCAACCGAAAATAGAATCTAATACTATCAAAAAATATCTTCAAGGGATTGTTGCATTCAACAAATTTTGTTTGGTCATCTTACGATTGGGAACCGAAGCCAAGCCGGAAAGACACCAGCCGTGATGTTCAAAACTTAATGAAACAACTGGGTGTTTCTTAAATGAACCGAAACTGGATATGTTTATATGAGTTTCCGAGTTATTGTATCGGGCGAAATTTCTGAAACACCCCTTACCAAAACCATATCGATAGTAATAATGGCGACTATAATAATATTGACATGCCTACAATAATAACAGCACTTATAGCCACGAACTGGCTGAGGACCTACACCCATGGAGACGATGCAATCTTCAGTCATTAAACATGTACAAGGGCAAAAGATAAGAGAAATATTAATCGGGATTAGCAAGTCCCCTGGAAACTGATAAAGTACATGCTACTATTGTCGAAGCTGAAATTATCGATGATGAAAGATGAGGCTGGCTGTTGAGTAGCATTCAAACGATCACTAATTGAGTGGCTGACAGAAACAATAGATCAGTTCTCATGAAGATATATTCTGAGAGTGCACTGATTCTTTTATTCAGCGTAACAAGACTTTTGGTGAAAAGTGCCTTTTCACCCATGTTCATTTTTGCGCCGTGTAATCAGGAACAAGATATCACCATAACATTAACATCTTACAAGTGCACTGGCAGAGCCACGAGCTTTTATGGCCAAATATGAAAGGCTTGTTGTAACTTATGAGGCGCTATCATCAATCATGCCCATCTCTCAGAGCATCAGATCATTGGCTATTGGACCCGGTCACCTATCACTATGATCGTAGACCAAGTCCCTCTCCAACAACAATCGTCAACCATTTCGGATGAGACTCATGTTGTTGCTCAAACAACCGCCCAATTCGTCGTACTTGATTCTGCGCTAAACCTGTGAAAAACCCAAACGCCTGCTGCCTGGTACATCGCCTGGCACCTTGTATCTTCTAGTGAGAGATGAGAGGTCCCTTGTTGTCGTTCTTGTTGCCTTGACGCTCGGGGAACTGTATGTCATGTTAGTCATAAAGCTTGTTATGATATATGAGGGCAATGCCTTACCTCAGTGGTCTGAGTCTCGCCCTTCTCAAGGATCTGCTTAATGACATCGTCGTCGACAGAGGTGCCGAACTCGTTCTCCAGAGCGGCCTTGGAAGCGGCATCGAGGGTTCCCTGAGCTCCTTGACTATTAACTTGTTAGCTTAGGTGTCATATATATAGATCATGTCTCTGTCGGGAGACAAAACCGGGGCGGAAATGACTTGACTTACCCGTGGGTCAAGAAGATCTTGAAAGAGGAGATGAAGTGAGCCAGAGGGATGCTCTTGTCGCTCTTCCACTTCTGGTAGGTCTCGACATCGTCAATGAAGATGACAAAGTCATCGCTGCCCTTGAAGTGGACCTTGGTCTGCTGAGTCTCGCCGCGAGCCATTGTGGTTGATTGTAAGAAAGGGAGTTGTGTTGGTGGTGAAAGGTCGTTGATTGATTGAAGTGAGAGTCGTTGTGATTGATGTTGCTTTGGAGGATGAAGATGAGGAGGGGAAAAAAGTGAGGGGAAGAGGTGCGTTCGGAGGTTTAAAAGGAAGCTCAACGAGGGGAGCAGTGACGAGTGTAGCTTGCTGGAAAGAGCTACCTACGTCATAGCCGTGCTCTTCAAGGCGGGCAAGTGGGCAGGTACGTACCTCCACCGCGGGGCTCTCACCTCAGGGCATTGACGACTTTCACCTGGAGACGAGAGAATTCCCCATTAAAGCCAGCCACGAGCATCAACCTGGCCAATCACAGCAGGAAATTCACGGTCCTAATGCTCTTGCCAGGTCAGAAGTTGCTCGTCTTATTCCTCACGTTCCTGCATGTTTTGCATCCACCGCGTACGTCACCGTATTTCAAGCAGATGCGAAGCCGAAAAGAAGACACCTCACCAAATCCATGGCAAGCTTCGAATTGATTGCTCGCGTGCCCCGCGCTAGCCCCAAGCAAACAACTTCTCGTGTTAGCATTGGCGGCAGTGGAACCTCAACGATGTTTTGTTCTTCTTCCGCCTTCCACGTCAGGTACAAATCATACCTATTGTACTGTAGGTACCTGGATATGCAATATGTAATATCTCATTGCCTTGGCATCCATTCATGGAAGCTGGCTTCATTCTACCTACATGCTTGATGCCTAATAACCAGGTTTCTAAACTTCGTGCCATAAGATGCCTGAACATCATGATGTATGCATTCACCCGTCAGTTGATCCCGTGGTTGTGTCTCAATATCATGTCATCAAGCTCTCAAGAAGACACACCCTTGGTATCAGACTCTAGGTGCACAATTTTGTGTACAAACATCAAATAGTCAGATATTAGTATTAGGTAGTCCTATTCACAATATGAGGCTTGCCGTCGATTGGCTGGCCTGTGGTAATGATGGTGTATTCATTCCATAATCCCATCTACACAACTACCCTGAAACTGTATCCAACACGACCGCTGGCCATGCAAATGACTTCTCAATGAAAGAATCTACGAATACCTGTATATTTTCTTTCACAACCTAAGCCCTTCGCATTCACCCATTGAGCATCCTTGGCTTTGACTACCACGTTTGCGCAGACGGCCGTGCTGTCCTTCACAACGGAAGTATTTGCTGTTTGCGCTGGTGACGAGTTTGTTGAAAGCTTGTCTGCCATTTGATCCTGTCCAGTCATCGCTTGCTCCGACCCGCTCTGAAACCGTTTTCTTGATATGGTTCCTATCAGATCAAGAGGTTCGAGCTCTGAGATTTGTGTAAGCTCGAGTCTTGGTAGTTGACAGTCCGAAATGCAAGACCCTTCACTCAGTGCGTGAGTCTCTGGGGAGAGTGAGCTCATTGTCGTGCAAGAACGTGAGCTGCTACCCCGAAAGTTCTTGTCAAACACGTCAATATCGCTATCACTTGAAATGCTAGTGTGTTGGGCTTGCTCATCGCTGGACGGATCTTCAACCATTTTGCGTTTCACGCTTCCTGATCTCCTCGCCATGCTTGATACGCTCAGTTTCCTCATTACGGTCGATGCCGACCGTCTGACCACCTGTTCATTCCTCGCAATATTCGGCATACTAGGAAGCGGAAGCACATCGTGACTCCAGACATCTGCCACAAGTATCTCGAGCCGGGCCCTTTCACTTCGAGACGGGACCAAGACTGGGGTTCTTGGTTTTGTCGTTAACAGTGATTGCGAACGATTGAGTCCATTCGCCGTACTGGTAAGATTACTGGATCTCATAGCACACGTATTTTTGAGAATGACATGACATGCAGACGACCCAAAGTCTCTAGCTGAGGTACGGTGGGTCGACAAGCTTCGTGCAATTGTCCCTGTAAATGTCAGTAAGGGAGGGGCTTCTCATGACACGGAAAGACATACCCGGTCGTCCAAAAACAGCACCTAGGCTCATGATATCCAGGGAAAGAAATATGTTGAGTCCTGTAGCTCTTATATCCGGTTTCGAACCTGAAGGTTGGCATAGCCGACTTCGCCATTCATTTCCCTCTGTTGTTGTACAGGCCGTCATGACAATTTCGTATAGCTGATGATCAATTTTAAAGACCAGTTTCCATGAGAAGGGCGCTAGGTGGCATTGCAAGCCTGAAAAAACCTATGTCAGCGACGAGCTTTAGCAAAAGATGATATATCCTACCACGCCCATTGTCAACATCTTCAACGGTTGCACTATGTATATCGATGCAGGCCACCACCGTGTAAATCTGGTCGTACCTGCTACCGTGGGCGAGGCAAAGGACGTCCCTGTAGAGCAAGCAGATCATATACTGGCCATCGACGCCAGTCGGTGTCTTCCAACAAACATGGAGGACCCCGCACAACTGTATGTGCCCGAAAGACCGCACCTGATTCTTCGAGTTCGCGTCAAGTCTCTGTTCGAGGCGTTAGCTGCATGGAATGATGTGGCCAGTAGAACACACCCTGTTGGGAAAGACTATGCGATCCTGCAGTAACCAAGTTTTCTCAAGAGCCTCTTTCATCAAATTGTCTTCGGTCGAGCGATTGATCTCAGATGTAGCTTCGCGAAGCCTCATCAACGCAGTTTCGACTTTCATGTGAGAGTTCGGGCAATCAATGACAGGCGTGCATTTCAATAGCTCGGCAAATAAGAGGGGGTACTTGCAAACCCTTTGGATGGGCTGGTGGTAGTATGTCAGATATTGAAGTATAATCAGCCAGAGGACGTACCTTGACAAGAAGGTCCCCCATGGTAAGTGATTTTCTGTTGTCACACAATGGCGATGCTTCTATCGTGAAAGCGAAGGCCTCAAGACCTCTCTGGTGAGTTTCCCACTCAGGAAAGTTCTCAAGAGCTGAGGTAGTATCCTTGATCATGATCTCATACTTCGCACCGTATTCTCTATACACGAAGAATCGATGCACCTTGGAGAAGGGCTCGGTCAGCAACTCTCAAACAACTATGAAGATGGTAGCTTACTCTCTTGCTGAAGACCTTTGCTACTTCTGCCGCCACTTGAGGATCGGAAAACAGACCAGGCTCCTTTTCGAGCCTCTGCAGGCTGACCTGATCTTCTGGAAGTACGTCTAAACTGGCCCACCGACGATGTCCTGATCTGGCGTTGGCGAATTTGGAGGCCGCAAAGAGGTGATCGGCTTGGCTGTACTCGGAGTCTGGAATCACACGGTGCAGTTCACCTAGCATTTCTTCGTGCAACTGAAGGATGCTGTCCAAGTTGTGGTTGATGGACGAGCGTAGTCGTTCAGGTAAAGTAGGAAGAGCGGCAAGCATGTTGATGTAGGTCTTGAATCGTCAGTAATGTATCGGCATTGAACGAAGCACCATCTTACATGAATGAGGAAGCGAACGTCGCCAATGTAGCCCTCCTCTGTACTTATGAGCTCCTCTAGGATTTGTCGGCGCCGCATTGAACGGTGCATTGCAGCGATATCTATCTTTCCCTTTTCCATGGGGATACTATCCTCGGAGAACCGGGGAACAGACAGAGAGGCTCGACTGCTTCGCTCAGCCTGGGAACGGCAACGCGAACGGTCTTGACGTCGGCATGAACGCGAGACAGCACTGCCGCTAGCAAGGCTGATACTGGCACTTTGGACTGCGGCAATCAACCCAAGCGAAGACCCAGAAGATGAGAGTCTACGGCTGAGTTTGTGGCGGAGGGACTGTTGATAAGTTTGGTCGGACTCAAGGTATTGCCATCCAGCATCAGGAGGCCATATTGCTTCCTCATCGCTTCTATGGCTAATCCGACGATGCAGAGATCTCATCCATTTATGGAACGGTCGTCGAGAGTTTCTGTTGTCATAATAAGGGCTTTTACAGGTAGGACCTTTAGAGAGATCGATATGTGCTTGTGAACCAGAAGGCGCAGTTTCATGAGTCGTGCATTCGGCACTGGCTGTATCCAAGGCAGACAAAGCATTTGTATCGTCGAGCCGTAGACCTTGTAGACCTGTAGACAAACTGATGTCATGTAATCTGGGTGGGCCACCGTGAGAATCGAGACGTGATGCATATGGAAACCCGGCAGTCCAGCTGAAATGTCGTGTATTATGAATGCTTTGAGAAACATCAGGCCAAGCCGGAGGATTCACAAGAGCCATGACGAAAAGAGAGTCACTAGGTAAAGTCCAAGAAGGTAACAAAGTGCTGATTCAAGAAAGCCAATGAGCACTCCAAGATCCGACTTCAGGCGAGCCGGTGACACATGGCCGTGATGAATGAGAATGATGAAGAACGGTTGACAATCCAGATCATAAATTTTAAGTAGAGGTCGGAGGAGCAGCAGCTCTACGATGATGGAAACCTATACCTAAGGAAGTCACGATACTGAGGCAACTGCCTCCCTCGCAGAGAAGGACCAATCCTTGAAGACTCTCTTTCCCAAATGGCTTGTCAGATCAGCAGGGCAGGAGCTGACCGGCCGTAAAATTGATTTCGACCGAGCATTTCGCACGAGAGCGAGGAATGCTTGAACTCTACAGCGAGGCTGTCTTTCAAGATATGTTGCATGTCCACTCGGACAGGTATCGACAACCCTGAACTTGGGCCATATCACTGTTCTCGGTAGAGCCGGTGATGGGCAGTCCAAGTATCACAGCTGAGACCTAGTAGTGCAAAGAGGCGCCTGCAAGGTCTCATTGGCTTGAGAAGAGGCTGCAAGCACTAGTGATGGTTATTTTGATGCCAGGCCCTGACAATATGGGGCAGTGAGACTAAAGAGTTAATTTGAATGGAAGACCTTGAACGCGCCAAGCCTTGTTGGAGGTGATTTCAGGATATGAACATCACAGAATTGGATATTCCAGCTGGTATCTCTTCGATATTGGCCTCATGGCTTGCAGGAGTTTTGCAGCCTTCCAAACCAAAGGCTGGCCACGTAAGCAGGGAGGTAAGATATGCAGTATCGTCGTCCATCCCCGAAGCTGTGGTATAAGGGCTGCAGAAGCATTCGATTGAGGCGGCGAGGAGCTTCCCGGCCCAGAGAACTGTGCATATAAAGGCGGAGGAGGTTGGATATGAAACGCGGAATACAGTTGTGTGACTATCGTGTTTGAGAGATGATGATTGGGTGGTGATATGTATGCTGAACTGGCAATAAGGTTGAGGGGATTAGTACTTTTGTTGCAGAGCTGATCAAGTGATGAGACTGCATGTGCATAGAATGTTCTGTGATCTCATGTTTCTTTCTGGCTTCAATGGGCTGTAGAAATGTGTCCCTGCTTCCTGCACTCATACCCATGATTGCAAGTAAACCTGATGGCCCATGTATGTATGATGTATCGGTAAACCCGCACAATTGCCTGCGAGAAGGAACACATCTACATATTCACACCAGCATACCTTGAGAGTTGATAAGAACTGGCTCCAAGTTAAGTATCGCAATCTGCGACAACATTATGCCAAGATTCACAGTCGTAAAGACCCCTTACAATGAATCATTGCCCAGACTTGGTGGATTTATCTTGGCGTTATATAAATTTCCCTACCTATGCATGAGACCGCTAACCATTAACCGAGTTCGTTATCTAGGTAGTTTGAGTTCAGTAGTATATAATGGCCATAAAAACTATGTCATCAGAGAATGAATTTTCTTCAGTGTCTTCACACGAGTCGGGCTCAAGCCTTGCCTTGAGGCTATCATGACTACAAGTGTGTAGAGCCAAGCCCGTCTCCGAGTCAGTCGGCATACCGGACCGAAACAACGAATTTTCTTAAACAAAGAAGCTTACGAGTCCTTATGAGCATCGTGCTTCATCGTGGAGAAGTGCGCTGTGGTTATACTCCACCTGCTCTCAGTTACCCATCACTATCTTCAACTTCCATTGGAGAGAACGGCATGTCGGCAATCGCCAACTTGGCATATATGCTCGGCAAGTCAAGAGCCAGGTTCTGACTTGTGTTGATGTAAGGTGTTAGCTGACTGGCCTGGTTAGCCTGGGCTCGGCATCGTGGCGGTGCATATGAGAACTAAGTCCGAAAGAGGTAAAAATCAACCTGGGGCCGAGTGCGGGCGAGCATTGCATCTCACCTCAGGCAGTCTGAATGGCGTTTCAGCGGATTCGGTGCCTGGCTGACTTGATTTCAGGGGAGTTACAGTGGCTCTCTCCTGTCGCTTGCCCGCCCGGATTGTGGGGATGCGCTACTGTAACGCTAGAAGACAGGAGAGACCTGCCGACTGCCCGCCCGGGGTCCATGGAAACGAACACGTTGAACTTTCTGATGACGAAGCTGTTTGACCTAACACCAAGTCTACTCATTTCGAGGTTTCGAACTGACGATGGGAGCGTCGAAGGATAGTTTCAAGATTCAATGCTGTCTATAATTGGTCCTCAACTTTCTAATTCCTTAATACAGAAAAGTAAAATAGAATAGTCTTCCGTTCGTACAAAAATAATAATAACGGAGGAATCTGCTTACAATCAATCAAGGCCTTGTCCTGAACAACAAGGTTAAAAGGTTAGTAAGTAGTAGGTTGCCACGTGCGGGCCCTTTTCGATCGCCTTGCCCTTTTAGTCTTGACAAATCTACCTCCCGGCGTATCAGACTAGACCCTAGGTAATGGCAGGAAGTCGGTGATTATTGCCTCCGTGTCTTCTATTCCTCTCACGCATTCTCTTTTTCTAACAGGTTCTCTTGTTGTTATTCCTTCTTGACTTCTGCATACCTGGGTAATCTTTCTTACCTTGCGTTAAGGTTCTTTCTTCATATCCCTTCCTTTGTCGCAAACCGTCCGTATCGACTCTTCAGCACACGAACCAGGTTTAGCCTTGTCTCGAGCGCCCGCCTCGCGCAGTCTTCGTGATGGAGAGCGCCTTCGCGAAGCCCGTTGACGATGTTCTCGCCAACTTCAAAGTGAACGCGAAGACAGGTCTCAGTGATGCGCAAGTCACTGAACTGCGTAACAAACATGGTCGCAACTGTATGTCGACTTCCAACGAAGCCCCGCCATCAATTCCAACTCTTCTAACCATTTGGTAGCCATTCCTGAGGAGCCTCCTACCCCCCTGTGGGAGCTGATTCTCGAGCAATTCAAGGACCAACTCGTTATCATCCTCCTCGGTTCCGCCGCTGTGTCTTTCATCCTAGCCCTTTTCGACGAGGAAGAAGGATGGAGCGCCTTCGTCGACCCTGTCGTTGTATGTACATTGCTTTTTTCTGAAACACTATGATTCAGTTTGGACAAGCCGCTGACCTACAACCCTACTACAGATTCTTACTATTCTTATCCTCAATGGCGTTGTCGGAGTCTCCCAGGAAAGCAGTGCTGAGAAGGCCATTGCTGCCTTGCAAGAATATTCGGCCAACGATGCCAATGTAGTGCGAAACGGTGGCCAGGTCTCACGAATCAAGGCTGAAGAACTGGTTCCCGGTGATATCGTTACAGTTCATATTGGCGACTGTATTCCTGCCGATTGCCGACTCGTCTCTATCGAAAGCAACAGTTTCTCCGTCGACCAAGCAGTTCTCACCGGAGAAAGCGAGAGTGTTGGAAAGCGCGCCTCCACGGTTGTTGACGATGACAAGGCCGTTTTACAGGACCAGACCAACATGTTGTTCTCCGGAACAACAGTTGTCACTGGCCGCGCTCGTGCCGTCGTCGTCCTCACTGGTGCTAGCACCGCGATTGGAGATATCCACGAGAGCATCACTGCTCAGATCTCGGAGCCTACTCCTTTGAAGCAGAAGCTCAACGACTTTGGTGACAGTTTGGCCAAGGTCATTACCGTCATCTGTATCCTGGTCTGGCTCATCAACATCCCCAACTTCAACGATCCTAGCCACGGTAGCTGGACCAAGGGTGCCATCTACTATCTTAAGATTGCCGTGTCTCTTGGTGTTGCTGCTATTCCCGAAGGTCTGGCTGTCGTCATCACCACCTGCTTGGCTCTTGGAACGAGAAAGATGGCCGCCAAAAACGCCGTCGTACGAAGCCTTCCTTCTGTTGAGACCCTTGGAAGCTGCAGTGTTATCTGTTCTGATAAGACTGGTACCTTGACCACCAACCAAATGAGTGTGAACAAGGTTGTGCATCTGAACGAGGACGGTAGCGATCTCAACGAGCTTGATGTCGAGGGTACTACTTTCGCTCCTCGGGGATCCATCAAGGCTGGCGGTGTCATCGTTCGGGATCTTCACGTCACGTCCAACACCATTCGTCAAATGACCCAGGTTGCCGCCATCTGTAACGACGCTCAGCTCGCGTACGATTCTCAGTCTGCTACCTTTTCCAGCATCGGTGAACCCACTGAGGGTGCTCTTCGAGTTTTGGTTGAGAAGATCGGACCTTGCGCCCCCGCCGATACCCGCCCCGAGGACTGCTGTCACTATGCCAGTGCTACCTACCAGAATGAGTTCCCCCGTCTTGCCACATACGAATTTTCCCGCGATCGTAAGAGCATGTCTGTCCTGGTTGGCAGTGGCCGTGATAAGAAGCTTTTGGTCAAGGGTGCTCCCGAGTCTGTCATCGATCGCTGCACACAGACCCTTATTGGCTCCAACGGCAAGAAGGTTCCTCTTACCAAGAAGATTGCAGACCGTTTGATGAGTGAGATTGTACGATACGGTAACAACGGCCTTCGAGTTATTGCCCTCGCCAGCATTGACAACGTTCCTGAGAGCCCCCTACTCCAGACCGCCACCTCTACAGAGCAATACGCCCAGCTTGAACAGAACATGACTTTCCTCGGCCTTGTGTGCATGCTTGATCCTCCCCGTGAGGAGGTCCCCCACGCTGTTCAGCAGTGCAAGGAAGCTGGTATCCGCGTTATCGTTATCACTGGTGACAACCGCAACACCGCTGAGAGCATCTGCCGACAGATCGGTGTCTTTGGTCAGCATGAGGATCTTACTGGAAAGAGCTATACTGGTCGCGAGTTTGATCAATTGTCTCCCAGCGAGCAGCTCGAGGCCGCCAAGCGTGCATCTTTGTTCTCCCGTGTCGAGCCCAGCCACAAATCCCGCCTGGTCGATCTTCTACAGTCTCTCAACGAAGTTGTTGCCATGACTGGCGATGGTGTCAACGATGCTCCTGCTTTGAAGAAGGCTGATATCGGTGTTGCTATGGGTTCTGGAACTGATGTCTCTAAGCTGGCTGCTGATATGGTCCTCGCTGACAGCAACTTTGCCACGATTGAGGTCGCCATTGAGGAGGGACGCTCCATCTACAACAACACACAGCAGTTCATCCGTTATCTCATCTCTTCCAACATCGGCGAGGTTGTTTCTATCTTCCTCACAGCTGCGCTTGGCATGCCTGAGGCTCTGGTTCCCGTTCAACTTCTCTGGGTCAACCTCGTCACCGATGGTCTCCCTGCCACCGCCTTGTCTTTCAACCCCCCTGACCACGACATCATGAAGCGTCGACCTCGCAAGCGAGACGAGGCACTTATCGGTGGCTGGCTCTTCTTCCGTTACCTTGTCATCGGTACCTACGTTGGTCTTGCTACCGTTGCTGGATACGCCTGGTGGTTCATGTACAACCCCGAGGGACCTCAGATCACTTTCCGCCAGCTCACTCGCTTCCACCACTGTTCAACTGAGTTCCCCGAGATTGGCTGTGTCATGTTCTCCAACGACATGGCTAAGTCGGCTTCGACTGTGTCGTTGTCTATCCTGGTTGTTATCGAGATGTTCAACGCCGTCAACGCCCTGTCGTCCAGCGAATCCCTTCTCACCTTGCCTCTGTGGAAGAACATGATGCTCGTCTATGCTATCGCTCTGTCAATGGCGCTTCACTTTGCCCTCCTCTACATTCCCTTCCTTCAGGGTCTGTTCTCCATCCTTCCTCTGAACACCCTCGAGTGGAAGGCTGTTGTTATCATTAGTGCCCCCGTCGTGTAAGTTTCGACTCCCCTTTTGACAATAAAGTACGTACAACTAATATTTAACAGACTCATCGACGAGATCCTCAAGGCCATTGAGCGACAGTTCTTTATGCAGACAACAATTGACACTTCCCTCAAGACAAAGAAGGAGCAATAGAGAAAACGTGTATAGAGAGAAGAGGATGACGGCCTGGTTAAGGCTAGGATTGGCTAGAACATATGTGTACGATATAGTTACCAGCTCAAAGAGCTGTGATTAGAACTAGACGGCCACATTGGCCTCCGCGATAAACAAAATCCCAAGTTTCGTTTCGAAGTCATCGAACTCGACTGAAAGCCATAGTGAGACTTGGCGGGTATGATAGAAAAGCAAGGATTGCAGTGTATTCGCTAGCATCATGTTAAAGCTAAATATATTGCCAGGATTCCCCAAACGCTTGTAAAGTCCTATCATACTTCTTCGTGTAGCAACTCGCCCAGCGTCTTGCTCTCTTCCATAATTTCCCTGGCATCGCCAGCAGATACACTCATATCCTCCATTATCAGCTGCACAGCAAGTTCCGCAACCAAAACAACCTGGATGAAAGCTGCTGAACCACGACCAGCAATGACACGATCCTGTGTAGCTTTCTCTTTCAGCGATTCGCCAAACTCCTCCACGAGGTAATCACACATGAGCTTACAACCTCGTGGGCCGTAGTATCCCGGGTTCAAATCCCCCTCCTTCTTGAGTGACCTGGCTTGACCTGTCCGGATCTTCTCAGCAAGGATATTCCGGTAGTGAGACGTTTTCCCATCGACGATTTGGGACAAATAATGCTGATGGTCCTTCAGCCGTTCCTCGAGTCGCTCCCAGTCGATGTGAGGATAGCCTCTTTCACGCCACGTATCCATAGCCGTTTCTTTCTTATGCTTTGCACAGAACCTTGTCTGCATCTGCACATTCAATCTCTTGCCTTTGGAGTAGTCCTTGAGGGCCTGCTCTGAAACCGCATCCCCGCACCATGGGCACTGTGTCATCTTGTCCTGGGGGTTTTCCTCGTTTTCCGGCGGCATGTTATCAGATCCCGTGTCGCTGAGCTGGTCCAGATCTGATATGATTGGTGACGACAGAATGTTTTCGTTACCACTTCCTAGATCGAAACTAGAATCGAGAGCGATAGGATTGACGAACGTGGCAGGTTTGTATTCTGGTATAGGAGGTCGCTCTTCCTGCCTTGCCTTCTTTTTCCTCTGCTTTTGTTCATAATCTTTGGGTGCTCGCATGACCCCCAGCCCGCTGGATCTCGGTTTTTGCGGAGTGCTGGTAGAACCAGGAGAAGAACCTTCACGCTTTGGTAAGACAATCTTTGTTTTGATTGCCTTCTTGGGACTACCAAAGTCATCCGCAGGTACAGGCAACATGCCCTTTTTAGGACCTGACTTTTCAGGGCTGAGCAATTCTCTTGCGACAGGCTTAAAGGCTGTTTCAGCCTCGAACGGAGAGCTGTTGAGAAGGTCGTCATCTTCGTGTCTCTTGTTCATCGTCTTGCCATCCGATCTAGTTCTTTTGCCTTCAAGCAAGTTAACAAGAGGCCAGGAAGATGGTAACTCAACAAACCTTGTTTCGTTTCTGATCCCTGTGAACTAAGGGATACTTGAGAACTTCTTGAAGCTTGCGCGGCTTTGCCATATTTGAAACCGCCGAACTTGTCATATCTGGACTTGGTAAAACCTCGCTCATCGACGAATTGATTGGGCTTGGCGTTCTCTGAATCGGAAGTCGTCTTCCTTTTTTTGCTTGGAGACGATTCTCTGTCGACGTTCTTAGCCGTTGCTGGCTTACTCTCACTCTTTCCTTTCTTGCTTGATGTACCCTTCCGAGACTTACTGGTACTCGCAGTAGAGAAATTCGAGCGTTTGATGTCCCCCCGAGCTGGTCCTTCTGCCTCAGAATCATCGGAATCAGGAAGTGTCTTTTTCTTGGGACCGCTTGGTAACAACATTAAGTCCGCAACTGATGGCGGTTCCTCATCCTCCTCATCGTCGGTAGACATTGGAGGAGCGTCATCTTCAACTTCTTTCTCAAGCTTTCGCTTGTTGCTACTGAAAGTGCTGAGGAGTGTTTTTGGTCTTTGGTTCTTACTCAATCCCACTACTCTGCTCATGTTTTCTGCAAATTTCCTTTGCTTAGTACTTGGTGAAGTTGAGGCAGTATTAATACGGGACGCGGCGTTCCGAGTTTTGAGCTGCAGTGTATCGGCAAAGGGAGAGCCAAGGGAGCATCAGAGCAATTCCAAGCAAAAGAGAGCGTATCCGTACATATAATAAAAGAAAGAAGGGGAATGAGGGGGCCAACGTTATAATCGCTCGACTAATGTACCATTGCTGTTTGGTTGTTTGTGTTTCCTCACCTGCAGAGCAGATCTGCTGAAGTTGAGTGAGGGCAGCAGTGTTTCACGCGTGTACCTACCAAGGCAAGCACCAGGGGCATTTTCATAAACGCGCTCCTGCCAAATGGACCCCGCCCCTTTGGCCTCCACCATCATCGAGGCCAGTGTTTAGCGCTCATAGGGGCAAGAAGTCCAGCGTTAGCGCTATACCTACTACCTAAGCTGCCCATCCATTCATGGTCAGTGCTTCAGTGGTTGGAAGCCGAAAAGGGACGCCTACCTACCGACCCTTTGTTGTCTGAACCTATATATCCATTCACTTTCAACCTCGAACGTCGCAAAGAAACCTCGGGGCTGTGGATAAATTCTGTAGACACAACCTACTTTCCCAAGAGTCTAAAGACTATCTCTTACCGGCTTTTGAAGCAGAAATGGCTCTCAATCGAAAGTACGCAGCTCTGCCAGATCTGGTGAGTTTGCTACAACTAGAACAAAGCCAAACATCTGATGCTAATTATTTACCCAGGATTCTGCTCCAGATATCTACGAAACTCCCGAACTCACAGATGACAATTCTACGGTTCCCGTAAGCTTTGTCTGACCAAGACACGCTGCCTTCTTACTTACTCAACCTACAGACGACCGCTGCGCGAACCCACTCGGACGATGACTTCTACGAGCCAGAGGACGAGACACCTGGTATTTCTAGGTCCCGTCTGCGAATAGACGAAGCTCGATCTCGCTTTCTTCCCACGAATGTCGATGCAGATGGGGTGGACTTCTCAGATCGAGTTGACGGGAAACGCAAATCGTACAAAGCCTCTAGCCGAAGACAGCGCATACTACCCAACGGGACATACGAGCTCGGTGATCTCTCGGATGACGACGACGAAGAAAGCTTGGAACGACGAATTACTCGCTTGCAGCGCGAGGTAGAAGAGGCAAAGAATGAATACGCGAAGCGAAAGGCCGAATCTCAGGCGCAGGAAGATGCTGATGCGACTGCCTGCGACGATAGGTTGACTTCCCTTAGCCAAGTGTTGAATGAGATCTCGAAGCCCACAGGTCGTTTGACCTCGATCCGCGTCCCCAAACCGATCGCACCTTCCAGCCCTGAAGAACAACCCGAAATGCCAGCGGGAGAGGATGCGACTTACACGGTGACATATGCGCCGACATTTGAACAAAGCCACGCTCTAGCCAAGGCTGCCGACTTTGACCGTCGGTTGTTAATGCTGGAGAAAGGCCTGGGAATCAACGCTTCATTGATGTCAGAGGCTAATTCCAACGGTCTTCCTCGCGCCATTCTACCCACGTTGGATTCTATGAACAAGCAAATCTCAACCCTTTCGGAGGCCACTACCGCCAACCTGGACACAATCAGTCGTCGGGTGCGAACGTTGGCCCAAGAACAGGACAAACTCAATGACTCCAGGGAAAAGGCGAAATCTTTGAGAGAAGAGCTTGGCCGAAACGGCTCTGCTGTTCAACCCGAAGAGTCTGAGCAGGAAGCAAAGATCAACGCACTCTACGGCATTCTTCCTACAATTGAGAACCTTACCCCTATACTTCCGCCTCTCTTGGACCGATTGCGATCACTTAGGGCTATTCATGCAGACGCTGCGACTGCCAGTGATACATTGAGTCACATTGAGAAACAGCAGGTGGAGATGGCCGCCGAACTGAAGCAGTGGAACGAAGGACTTGTCAAGATTGAAACTGCTATAAAGGAAGGAAACGTATCTATCGAGAATAATAAGCAGGTCATGGAAGAATGGGTCAAGGACCTTGAAGAGAGAATGGATGAGTTATGATTGATGATGCGTTGGTCAGATACCCTAGCAAATAGACTGAGTCGTTATGGAATTCTTGTTGTTCAGTCCCGAAAATGAAGCCCTCGTTTATACTCGTAGACCTCAGTAGATTATTAAATCGTTTGTCTTTGTTGGTTCACTCGGAGGGGGAACAAAGGAGCATGGATACATCTCATATTAAAGTCCACTTCTCTTTAGAGTTAGAGTTGATGGGTCATGACGCCACAACACCACCAGCCACATGGCTGACAGAATCGGTTTCACTATTAATCCGCTACCGAAACCAACTGTAGGCGCCCTTCGGCTGGCGGTGGGGTAAGGGCTTTGGCACACGAAAACCCTGACAATCTCACCAAAAAAGTTGTCCCAAACAAGCGTCAATCTACAGCTCACGCCCGCGACCACCGCCCAATCCACCAATTTCCCTACAGTACGGCGACACTCCCGATCCAACGCGCAATTTTCCATCCAGCTTACCATCCTTCAGGTCGCAATAATGGACGCCTCCAAGCAGCCCGTCAAGCTCGTCAAGGTCACCCGAGTCCTCGGCCGAACCGGTGCGTTACCTCCCCACGGAATTTGATATGGTCGAAGGAAAATATCAAAAAATTCGCCATGAAAAGATTGGAGTAAATGAATGAATTTCTGACTTGGTTGGATAGGTTCTCGTGGTGGTGTCACCCAGGTCCGCGTTGAGTTCATGGACGACCAGACCCGATCGATCATCCGAAACGTCAAGGGCCCAGGTACGATAATTCTCGAAAATCCCCTCACTTTCTAGGGCGGGTCCAGAGTAAGAATATTAAGAATTGCGAATGCTGACTTGTGACCGAACACAGTCCGTGAGGACGACATCCTCTGCCTCCTCGAGTCCGAGCGTGAGGCCCGACGACTACGATAAATGTGCATTCTGGGGAGCATGGGGTTCTTGGAAGACGGTCAACGACGGATGGTCTATGCATGCTGAGGCGTGCGCGCCTTGTATTGGGACATTGACCTGGAGCTGCACATCACCCTTCTGGCACTCCAGTTTCATTTGTTAGAGGAGTCACACGGACACGGTCTGGGATAACGAAAAATTCCAGAACAGTTCTTCTTCTGCAGCATTGGAATCCGACGAAAAGTGAAATTCATTCTTGTTTCTCTCGCGCACGATTTCCTCCCTCAAACACTTGTCTCGCACTCTCGAAGCTCAGACAAGAAAACATTTGGAGGATCATACAGTCAACATGTGCTACGAAATTTCAATGACCTTGATTTCGATATTGACCTAGCAACAGGAGAATTTATGCCTCTTTTTTATGACAGCCTGTTCTCCATAACTAACCTCGCTTCGCATCGTGAGTTCCTGATCACGTGCAAATTTTCGATCTCAAATTGGGCGGGGCGGCCAGAGGAAATCTTCTCTTTTTCAACCTTCAACATCTCTCAAGATTCCTCAAAGCTCCAACAACTCTATTGGTAAGTCAACACTTATGTCTGCTTTACACACACCTATTGGGAATGATGCTTTTTAGCATGTATTACCTGAAACATACATTGATGTATCTTTTTATCACCAAGATCTCTGACCCTAATCATTCATTCACTTTTATTGTCGCACACTTTTTCCTGGCCAACTTGACTAACATACAAAGAAATTTCTAGGCGTAATTCGTCCACAATGTCGTCGGTATCCAAGCCACCAGCTGGGCATTTCAACGTTCTCTTCTTTGCCAGTGCCAGTTCCTTTACTGGCAAAGACTATGAAGCCCTACCAGCCACTATGCCACTCAGCAAGCTCTTCACCGAGCTGGAGACCAGATATCCTGGCATCAAAGCCAAAATTCTCGATTCGTGCCTCGTCACTGTCAACCTCGATTATGTAGACTTGCCCAGCGAGGAGGGTGCTGAAGACACGGTGATCCAGGAAGCAGACGAAGTGGCAATCATCCCTCCCGTCAGCTCTGGTTAAAGGATATCGAGTGCCAACCGCAAAAAATCGCTCAGCCATCGTATTGTGACTCGTATGTCCTGTAGTCGCTCTGTAAAAGGTCACTTCCTAAGGACCTCCATTATCTGGCCGACTCCCTGGTAGCAACGGCTCATGCTCTCCATGCTGCATTCGTGCCCTGCCCCAGCGATGATTCTGTCGCTGCCACCAGCCAGGATCCTTCTCGTGACAATGTCGAATCCAGCGGAAGGTTATCACAAGCAGGACCACGAGCAGGACAAAGAACAGGGTTGATATGATGGTGATGATTGCTGTAAGACTTGTTATCGACGAGACTTGACACCCTAGAGGTCGTGACCGAAGTTCCCATCGCTCTGCCCAGTGGGGACAAACGTTCTCATCATATGCTGGTGCAAGTAATGGGATTTTGCTTGTGTTGGGTACACAGGACCATGTCTATTCTTTCATTAGATCGAGTGTTCGTTCTGGGTCTTGTATGGCGGAAGCAATGGGAGCCATACAAAGGGACACCAGCTGCATTGCGAAGTCGCTAGACAACCTTTGCACGTTTGGTGCTTCCAGCATCGCCGGAAGCGCTCATCATCAGAGGTCCCGCTTGAGGTGAAGTTAGCTCGTAAAGCGTGGATGTCACTATCAGATAGCCATGAAGAGCCCATGGTTATTCGTGGGCGTGCAGTTTGAAAGAAAGAAGTTCGATATAACTAGAATGGCGTTATCAGGCCGTATCAAATTGGCAGACGAACTGGCTGTCATCGAGGCTGAGGCCAAGAATGAAACTGAGCGGGGAAAGCCACCATCATACATACTGCGTCGACGACCCTTGCAGCCACACAGCATTACATCAAACCTTCATACGAAACTCACTTCTTGTTGATCATCATGACATTAGCTTTTCTTCGGTCTACGCAAGTCATGGAAACCCATTCTTCTATCTATAATCACAGCAATGTCTGCGTTTCATCCAAGTAAACCATTAGTGCCCAGGCTAATAATGTAACGTTTTGTATAGCATGCTGTAGCGATCAGGACATTGTTCGCTTTCTCATTTGCCTCGACCTTCGTACTTTTCGCTTCGTCTCTCTAATCTCTGCTCTTCTTCTCTTTGCCCTCCTCTCCTTGGCATCGCGGCTGGGATTGTTGCCTAAACTTTCAATTGGCGTCAAGTCGGATAAGAACTGTCGAATGTGCAGGCCAGTCTTCTCGCGGATGAACGCATCGATTTGCTCATTACAAGCTGCCGAAGCTGCAATATGCAATCCCCTTAAGACATCACGGTCTAAGATTGTGACTTGATCATCATCTTGACTTTTTGCTCGAAGACTTCTGATCGATGACGTTCTTTTTGGGACGGTTGGCCGGGCAATCTTTCGACCAGAAAAGCCCCGTGAGCAGACGGTAACATGATTTGGTGAAATAGAAGAATCTTGCTCCTTCTTTAATCCCATATGTGACGCTTTTCCTTTGCCTTTGTTATTGGAACCCGTCTTTGGTGTAAGTGGTGAGGCATCGGCTTCAACAGACAGCCCACAATCTTCTTCTTCTCCGGATGTCGTAAGGGGCAAGGCGTCAGCCTCAACAGACAGGTCGCAGTCTTCTTCTATGGATGTTGCTGATGATTCAGGCCGGGGTAGATCTGGTAAAGGCTTTCCGGGTTTTTGGGCTAACTCTGTGCGCTGAGGGACAACGACGTCGGCACTTAGACTGTGGCCGCGTCTCGAGCTGTTGTATACTGGAACGGCATGGCTAAGACTCTTTGACGGTCGGGTTGATCTGGCACGCAGGCTCTGGTTCTGGTCTTGATCAGGTTTCGTTGCTCGCCACACACGGGTGCGAGTGCCGCTTTCTGCGCGGGGCCGATGAATATTCGAGGACGGACCAGCATCTTGTGGCGCGATTGATCTTTTCGATACGTTCGAACGACTAGTAGGTGTCTTCGGGGGCGAAAAGAAAGCTGATGTGGTTTGTTTCGGCTTCTGCTTACTATGAGCTGGCCGCGAATATGATGTTGCTACCCGGTTTGCGTGGTCCCTTCGCTGGTGCGACGTCCTTTTGCCCGTAGAAACCATGTTAGGCCACTCAGGATAAGAATGCATATGACTCCTGGGAACTTTGGATATAGGACCAGCCATTGCTTCCTTCTCTGGGGCTTCAGAGTATAATGGCCTTGGTTTCTGTGCAAGTTGAAAACACTTCTATTTACTCAAATGGCACAGATTTCCAGATTGACATGAAGTGCAATGAGCCGCAATTGCATCTGCCACCTTCTTTCGCGAGCGTTCTTCGACGTCGACCATTGCATACCTCCACTCGTCCATGTCCTCGACGGCAGGGAAAGGAATCTCTATACTCGAGCTTGGACATCGGGTGGCACTATCCACTTGGGTAAGATGTGATTGTTCGGGTGATGGTTTTGAAGCTGTGGTCTTCGTAGCTCGAGGTTTGCCACGGGGACTAGGATGGGTTGCTTGGTCCTTTGAAGTGATAGCTAGCCCAGCAGCTTTGAACTCAGAACGAAAGGGAAGAAGTGCAGCTATGGTGCGGAGGCTTGCACCAGACTAAGGTGGAGTTGGAGTGAACATTGGCAGCTTCCCCTTGGCACCAGACTGCTCAGCATATTGGCAAAGTTCTTGAGTGAATCGATCAAGTGCTTCTTTTTGGCTTGGAGTCGAGGCTGTCAGATGTTGGAGATACCTTCTTCTTGTGGGTGTACTTTGTTGATGGGGATTCGTCTTTGATTGATAACAACTGCAGCTGTTGCGCAATGTTCCTTGAGATAGCTTCCACGAGTTCATTGTTCACATTGGAGCTATTTTCTGTAGTGGAAGTGCCTCCGAAAACATCTGCATCAAGGGCCTGCGATGACATCGCATACTTATGCAACTCCGTTCTTTTGGGGCGGTCTTGGTGGGTTGAGGAGGACACTCTTCTTGGAGGTGCCAGGCCATTCATCTCGGAGATATGCAGCGGGCTGACAGGTCTGTGTTTGTCTTTCGGGGTTCCCGAGTTAGGCTGTGAGGTATATTCAAAGCCAGTAGACATACCAAGTCGTGGCTGTGTATCCCGGTTCAATCGAGAGTGGTTCTGGGTTCCTGGGCCGTCTGTTGTAGTTTCCTTGATGGCCTTACGTGGCTCGTTAGTGTTAGATGAATCGTTGGAGGAACTTGATGATAGTGTGTGAACTGGCGATGAAAGCGGTCGTTGAGCACGGCGTTGACTTTTCGATGTCCGATGGACTGCACGTACATGCCGTCTTGGTCGAAAGACAACTCGTCCACGGCGTCCTGAGTTGTCGCTGATAGAGTGAGGTGCACGTATGCTGGTTAAGGGTGGAAGGTTATTAGAAGCCGAGTTAGATGATATCGCGACCATTATGCGATGCACAAGTTATGCAATCCCCAGATATCTGGGTGGTAAGAAAAGAAGAAAACGACAGAGTTGATTATGGAATCATGATACAATGAACTGGTGATGGTGATGGTGATGGTGATGGTGATGAAGATGAGGAGAGATTGCCAAGTTATGAGGACCCAAGAACCCGTTTGGTGAATTATCCATTTGGAAGGTGTTGTACAGGCGTGACCTCCTGCCGTTTAGGTCACGGTTTGTGTAAAAGGAAAGAGCTGATGGCGTTTATTTGATGTCCTTGATTCCGGGTGATCCATAGACTTCAAGTTGGCGTCGTCCCTTCCGTAAGAGGAATTCAATAGCGGCAAAATCTCGTTTATCGATGCTCAAGTTGCGAGCAAACTCATTCCTATAAGAGGCAGGTGCATATTAGGAAAGGCCGTTCCTTCTGTGAGATGAGTGCAAATAACGAACCTGGCAAAGCTCTCAAAGTGTGGTCGAGTAGCCTTTTCCCAGTCTCAATGTCAGTTACGATAATAAATAACCTCGGCATTGCTCATACCTGTGGTTTCTTTCGGGTTTCTCTTAGGCAATTGCGGTAGAGAGCGAGAACCTCTTTCTGTAGTCCTGAGAGGCGAGCCATTATGACTTGAATTGATTAAGTCTATGATTGAAAAGAGGCTCAACTGAAGGCTGAATGATTAGAGTGAGTGTTGATGTAATTGATGAATTTCAGTGGACTGGAGAAATATGGCGTACATATTGTGGAGACATTGTCACCTCTAAAGATGGGAGCACTAACACGTACAGGTCTCAATCTCAAATAAAGAATCATGAAATATTGTCGCTTCTAAGTTTAATACAATCTCTATGATGCACTTCCGAAGACATAATGCTCATCCCCAGAACTTTCTGATTCTGGTGCGAATATACTATCTGCATCACCTTCAACCTCCTCAACCTCCCATTCACTGAGCAGCTTCTCCCTTTCCAATACCACAGCCTCTAGCCACTTCTTCTCAGCTGCCATGCGTCTCACCATTTCCGTCTCCTTCTCTTTGAAAGAATCCTCAAGTCGGTGCCTGGCACTATACATGAGTTCTTCTCTGTAAGTCCTATTGTCTTGTAGTTTGGCCTCCAAGTTCTTCAGTTGCTCGGTCTTCCACTTCTGCCATGCGTGTTGCTTCTGGTCCATACGCTTTCTCAAGTCGAGCATTGCAGTTTCTATCTCCTTGTCTCCATCTTTCTTGTCTTTCCAATAATATTTGAGTCGGTCGTGATAGGCTTGTTCGAGGTCATTCTCCTCGGACGCTCGAATCTGGAAGTCTTTGTTCAAAGCACATTCCTTCTCATTCATCTTTTTCGAGATAGCTTCTGTCAACTCGGACCTTTCCAAATCGTGCTTCTTTTGCAACTCATCTTTGGCGTTCTCGGAATCGATGACCATATTTTCACCCTCTTTTTCCTGGTCAACATCGAGTAATACTTGCTGCAACTCATGTAATTGGTCGAGTAGAATCCGTAGCTCTTGATATTTGATTTCGATGTCTCTCCGTCGAATGCTTTCTTGTCTTACCCTTTCTTCGAGCTCACGCTGTCGCCGTTCCTCCTCCAGTCTTACCTGTTCCTGTCGTAATAATTCAGCCTTGAGAGCTTCCTCGCGCTCATACTCTTCGATCTGCAGAAGAGCTTGTCGTAGCTCCTCAGCTTCCGCTAGTTCGTTGACCCTTCTTTCTTCTCTTCGAGCATTCGCTCCATCTTTTACTTCTTGAAGCTGCTCCATTGTGCAGCTGCATGTTCGCCAACGTCTCTCGCATACATAGCAGAACTCGTTCCCGCAGCGACAGGTCATATGCTGGCAAGCCTCTCTGTGCTCAACCAAAGCATGGCATTTGGAACACCTCTTCCAGCCTTCGTCCTCAGCCAGTTGATTTGTAAGGTTCATATCAACGTCCTGGGGGCATTCTTGTCCTGCATGTGCCGGTCCTCGACACATAGTACATGTTCGGTGGGAGCGATCGCAAAGGCCCTGACGCCGGCTGGGGTCAATCTTCTTAGGCTTTATCCATAAACTACAGTTAGGTTCGCTGCAATAAACTCGTTCACTGATGGGCAACTCCCACTCTTTGGAGCGTTCCTCAAACGTCTTCTTGAGGTTAGATGGGATGAATCGCAGGATGATTTTGATTGGAACCTCGTTCAGGCAGCATTTAGGCGGCCACTGTTGCTCATTCTGGCATGCGGCAGAAACGAGCCGGACGAAGCACTCGTGACAATAACTATGACAAGGTACTTTGATGACGTCCTTGGGATGAAAGTCATCTAGACAGGACACACACTCACTGCAGCTCATTAGCAAGGGAAAGTAATGAACAGGATCAAGACTAACACTTCTTCAATAGATTTGGTCTTTACCGAACGACTGAAGCTATCTCTACTAACTTCGACCTCTGCAGCTTCTTTTTGTAAAGTTGCAAGAGCTGCGCCTGTAACACTACTCTCACCTCGTTCATTATTGCGCTGGAAAAAGCGTCGGAGTGCAGCGAGTCGTTTCTTGTTTGCCTTGGCCTCGGTCTTCGTAGCAGCAACGCTAGGTCCGAAAGTTGTCAAGAGAATTTCAGGTTTGATCTTGGGTGTCTCTTTGCTGGTCTCTTCCTCGACAGGTTTGTCAACAGGAATGATAATAGGCAGATACGGCTCCTTGTTCTTGCCTTTCTCAGTCTCTTGAAGTTCTCGTTGATCCTCGAGTTCTTTCTTCTGGCGATCCTCTTCAGCATTCCTCGCCTTGATATTCTCAATTGACGATTGCAGTATATCGAGGAGAATCTGAGACGTGATGTTGGGGGCCTTCTTCAGTGCACCAGGAGGGTCATATTTATGCCAGTCAAAGTCGACATCGTCAAGGGCTGGTAAGTTGTTGATGGACCAAGAAACTCGTGGTTTTCTGGTAACCCAGGCAGACTCTAAGCTGTCGAGTATTTCAAAGGGATTCTCATAAAAGTCGATATAATCTTCAGGTCCAAAGGCGCCAGGCATGAGGGGCTGACCTCGACTTAAGCCAGCCATGCCTATTGGAGTTGTCTTTGTTGGAGTGTTCACTTTTGAGTTTATCTCTGATGTTTATAAAGGTGCTAAGTTGTGTATGATTGAAGTGTTGAATGAGTAGGTTCTATGGTGGTGCGATAGGATGCTGTGGTATATAATAATAAACAAAACGAACGACTGAGACGTGTCTGAGCCCCAAACAATGCAGTAGTTTGTTGGCAAAGCCTGAAGGATGTTGGTTCAGTGTAAGCTAAATCCAGGTCAATCCTCCTTTGGTTGGTCGGACTGGGCTATGTAAGTCGAGAGATACAGGGGCATGAGCAGACTTGAACGCCTAGAAAGGCTTCATTTAGGGGATGATATGACCGAATGTGTCTTATTGCTAACTCAACTAGGCAGTCTCCAAAGGCCAAGTCAGCCCTGGAGGCAGTCCTAAAGGCATGAAGCGAAGCTATCACGCCCTGGAATGCCTTGAGATGGAGTATGGTCTTGGTGAATGCTGGCGACGGACCAATAAGACGTTCCGTATGGTTGCACGCACATATTTCTCAAGTCCTATCTGGGCAGTACTGCAAAGGCGGGCGTGGAGTACATACAAGTTGCTAACAAAAGTGACCATTAGGAAGGGGACCAAGGTTCAGCTGAAGCTTCTAGCGCGTCTTGAGATGTGCGCGTGGTCTTATCGGGAACTAAAAGGGGCAGTGATTGTAGCCTAAAAGAATGAAACCAGGATAACAGGATCATTCATTATACGAGGAACCAAACTGAGTCTATCAATATTAGCTGGGCGATGAATGAATCCACCAACTTACATCCAGCCTACTTTAGTATTTTACAGTAGGTATGGATCCAATGTGGGCCATTAAGATGCCCTGCAAGCTACCCTGTAGAATCTATAACGTGAGTGATTCTCCATTAACATATTTCGCCCTGGATCTATCATTGTTGTTATGAAACGTCATGCTGTGGCATGAGTAAGAACACTCTGTATGCTCAATATCTGGTAGATTTGAGAAAGACCAAACAACCCACTGAGAGGACTGCTGATTACAGAAAAGGCTGGTGGTTGAGGATTTTTTAGTTAATAACGAGACTTACATTCCTGGAAACTTCAACCGTCCAAATCTCCAACTGATCATAAGTATTCATTATCTCATCCGTATGATGGAACCAGCCATAGAAGGCATAATGAGGGCCTTCATTCTTTTTAATATTTTATTTGACCAGTTCCTTCCCATTCTTTGGTGTTAATCTGATCACGTGCCCACGACTTGCACAAAAAACCTCTTTTTCAGCCAAATCTAACCACGATATGGAATTCATTGATGGGGCCGAAAATTGTTTACAGCGAATAATAACATAAAATTTGTTTGTTAAAGTAACTCCTGCACGATGTCGGTCGGCGAAATGGGCGAATCCGCTCAGTGAGTTCCTATCTTATACATCGTCCAGGGTATACCTTTTCTAACATCACGACCTAGTCCACTCAAGATCTTTGATATTACCAAGAAGCAGGATCGTTTCTTATATGCTCTTGCGCCTATGGTACGATATGGAAAGGTATGCTAGGATTCGATAAGTACTGATTGAAATGCTAATCTCTCATAGCTTGCCTTTCGACAAACAGTTCACAAGTATGGAGTCGACCTTTGCTGGTCCCCCATGATCCTTGCAAAAGAGTTCAACCGTAGTAGTTTCGCTCGAGATAGTGGTAAGTGATTAAAGGCAAGACCTGAAGTGGAAGCTGATTTCTGAGTGAAGACTTAACCATCTCTACCCAACCCAACCAACCGCCAACTGTCGTCCAGTTCGGCGCAAATGTCCCCCTGGAACTGGCTCGCGCCTCAGCACTCGTTGCTCCTTTCACACAGGGTGTCGACCTCAACTGTGGCTGTCCCCAATCATGGGCTTGCGCTGAGACGTTAGGCGCTGCTCTTATGAACCACCGTGAACTGGTCCGGGATATGGTTGTCGAGACTAGACAGCGACTGGCAAGTGACGGATGGGGTGTCGGCCTCGAGAAGGACATCGACAATCCCAAGGGTCGAAGTGTGAGCGTAAAGATCAGAATTCACAATGATCTCAGGTACGTTCTCCCTAGTCCAGAAAATGAACATGGCTCACCCACTCAGGCAAACCATGGACTTTATAGACACCGTGATAGGTCATCCCCAGAACCGCCAGATTGACTGGCTCACTATTCACCCACGGACAAGGTCAACGCCATCAACTACCCCTATTAGGGCCGAAGCTCTCGAGATCCTGACAGAAAAGTATTCAAAGACACTCCCCATACTCCTCTCTGGAGATGTCTTCGACCTATCCACCCTCCCCTTTCAACCCACCATCACCACCAACAATGACGCCCCTCTCCCTTCTATAGACAAACTCGTTCTCAACGAGAAGAATTCTGCTGTCAACATGCCACGCCCCAGCAACACCCATCTTTCAGGCTTCATGTCCGCCCGTGGCCTCCTGGCCAACCCAGCAATTTGCGCCGGCTACTCGGCTTGTCCCTGGGAAGCTGTCGAGACATTCATGTGCAAAGTAGCACGGGCCCCCGTGCCCTTCAAGCTGGTCCAGCACCACATCATGGAGATGACGGCGCCCGGAATGGGCCCCAACAAGAACTCGCTTCTGGAAAAGAAGGAGCGTGCTGAACTCATGAAGTTGACCAATACTTGTGAGATCATCGACTTCCTCGACGAGAAAATCGACGAGAAAACGGGGAGAGTTGGCGGTATGAGACGAGACCTATGATTATTTCCCCATCGCATCTCACGACGAGCTTGAGACATCAAGATCATGGTATCTCATTCAATGTATTCATGACTAGAAAACCCACTCTCTGCTATCTGTGATACAGAGTTGCCCGCGATCCGCCTCTTGCACCCACGCTCAAAGACCACTCAACACGCCCTGAATTCCTATTGTTCCCGAGTCGTCACGCCTCTGTACGAAGGCTCTGAAATCCATCCTCGATAACTTGCCGCCTCTTGCACCTGTAGCCGCCAATGTCCTGGTCTTTTCACGCAACGCCTCGGGTCCGACGATGAACAGTGAACCAATCTCTGTAAGCATTTCGACAGCAGAGGTGACCTCCTTTGACGTTGGCCACTCGCGCATCGTGGACACATACTTTGCGATATCCTGCGTCACCATGAGACCACCTGTCGCGTTGACCTGGAACTTCTTGAAGTGCTCAAAGAGAAGCTTGAGAAGCACCAATGCCAACTCGGTGAAGAACTTCTCAGAGTTCTGACCATCGATGGCTTGACGAGCGAGACGATGAACGCGGGCCAGGAATGTGCAGATACTCAAACACGTTTGTGTCTGCAGTGAGTCGAGTTCGACCTCTTTTGGCCGGAAATCCTGCTTTTTCTGGCCAAGCAGTGACTTTGTCACCCAGTTGGACACAACGTCAATGGTGCCCTTTATGACGTTGTTTGTCTTCTTTTCAATGTTACTAATGGCCACCCTTTTCTGCGCCTCCATGCTTCGCCTGACTGTTGTGTTTGACTCCGCAAGGCGGATGAGGACGACTGTGATGAACCGATCCATGAGACTCGTAATTGTGACGGCCGGATGAATCGTTGGTAAATATGATAGATCGGGCTCGGTTTTCGTATTTTCTTGCACAGAGACCTGGTCGAGTGCAGCGTCAAGAGTTGTCTCAATGTACACCTGACCCAAACTTGTCAGAAGCAGATTGAGAAGAGTGTTCACATCCTTGGGGGTATCGGTCTGGGAGCCAAGCTCCAATGTGCGCTGAACACTCTCGGCCAACCACTTGAGCATACGCTTGGCGTTTGCTACGCTCAAGGCACCATCTTCTTCTGAGACCTCGATTTCGTTCTTGTTGTCCTTATCCTTCTCCTGGACTCCGGCAACACGCAGCATCATGCGCTTTTGTGTGGTCGTAAGTTCTGAAGAGTCAAGACGCTCGATATAGGCATCCTTTGCTGATGCAATCAGCTGCGTACCCTGCTGGGCAAGAGATGCCATAAAGCCAGTGGGTGCCTTCTTCCGTCTAGAATGGTATATACTGTACTTGAACAGCAGAGAGCTGTACATTTCTTCTAAACTCTTTCGTTCTCGCTCGATGTACGAGTTGCCAATCATATATGGCACAAAAAGCTCTTCCATCTGCTGGTCGAGAGTATGTGCTATTTGGGCCGAGCATGGCTCGGGGTTTTCTGTTAAGCCATGGGACTTCAAGTCCTCGACTAGGGATCCGAGATAAGTTCTAGACGAGTGCAAAGCTCTGAGGAAAGCCAGTGAAGAGATCTTTAGAGTTTCATCCAATACCATTTCGAGCCTCTGTTGGATTGACTGCTGAAATATTCGTTGAATGAACTTGATGAGCACTGTTTCGTAGTATGGGAAAATAAGCTTGATCTGGTTGGACTCGTCCTGCATGACGATCTTGATCTCGTCCAGCAGGTTTTGTAAGCTTGGCTCTACCGTCGGAGGCTCTGAGTCGGGATCTGCCAGCTGTTCCCAGGTGTCACTATCCACTTGGACCTCATCGGCGAGGAGTTGGTCGCGGTCCAAGAAGAAAGCATGCTGGTTGACAAAGGTCGCGATAACACTGGCGCCGCCGTTGAAGTCGTATAGAACCTTTGCACATTCCATCATGTCGCCATAGTTGCCCTTCTTGTTACTGTTTTCGAATTGCTGTAGGAGATCCTGTTCGAGCGTTTCACAGAACTTCTCCAATACCTCCCTGGTGTTATGTAATCTCACGTTGCCCACGACGCCGTTCGTGGTTCCGCCATTTCTCAAGCTTTTTGTTTGACCCCATGATGCCGGATCCAATCGTTGACTGATGCGCATAAGTTGTCGAACGATCATGGCGCATCGCACTTTGTGTTCAGAACCGGCCTGTCTTTGGACGTCTTGTAGCAGCGAGAGCTTTCCCGTCTCACTGACTTCTGTCCAGCACTGAATTAAAAATATGGCGTCGTTGGCTCGTCTTCGCTTCTTGTCCAGATCCTCGAGCTTCTCTCCAATCTGCAGCGCAACGTTGCCGCCAGCGTGGGAATTGACGCCAATTCCGTTCTTGTATGAATGTTCCTGGTTGAGAGAGAGATCGAGCTGTTCGAATGCCCTCATAGATTCGTCGAGCTTCTGGCCTAGTGTTTCGAGAGTTGAGTCGTGAGCTACCTCTGCGCGGCGCACATGCGACATGAGCTCCGACTCCTTCTCCTGGAGTTCAGCTCCAAGAGAACCAAGTTGATCGAGTGCATCTATGACATTGAGTCAGCATGGTTGGCTCTATATCGGCCTGCCAAAGAGTTTCCGCCGTACTTTCAAATGTTCGAATCAGGGGTTTGGGATCGAAGGGCGCTTGCGCATTGCCAGATCGTCGGTTCGAGGGTACGGCGCTCTCAGCGAGACTGTCGACAAAGTCACGCACTATAAAGTCTTTATTGGAGAAGTCGTCGAGGGTAAAGTTCGGTCCTCTTGGGAAGAGACTCGTCTGACCGGAACCAGCGCGATCCATGTTGTTGATGCTGTCGAGAATCGAGGCGCTACATGTGGAGAGGGATCATCGACGGTTGATACGTGTGGGATGGAGGGTTGTACGTAGTTCGAATTCGAGATGGAGTGAGGCTGCAACGTAAATCATTTGCCAAGTCACGTCGTCGATCAAGTCTGGCTGGCGCTCATGGAGTGGCCATGATATTCAGGCGAGAGGTAGGTAGAGGTTGAGGTGAGGTTAGGTTGGGATACCTTACCTCAATCGAAGGTAGGCATTGGCTGCCCGCTATTATCACAGGGCAGCTTCAGAGGCTCAGCTACAGCGACAGCGCCCAGCCCCGCTATCAGCTATCTAGGTTCAGTGGACGCGCTGAGCCACACGCACGTACGTGAAGCCAAGAGCTTCAGTGGAGAAGCGACGTAAACTCGTCTCGCACCGCCACGACTTTTTCCTTGTGTCTTCCACTGATAGACACGTCTGCCCACCGTTCCTTGTCAGGCTCCATCAACTTATAAGCCTGCCCATCCCCGGCTGTATCGCGATCGCAAATCCCGATCTCGAGTGTTTATTCAACTTGGGAATTTTTCGCATAGATTCGACCAGTCCGGAGACATCTTTGCAACCCGGCAGCTTGTTAGACAGCCTTGAGGCTGCACATTCACCATCATGCCCATCATGACGACTCGCGATCGTCTGGCTTACAGAGCCGATGAAACCAAGGAACACAACCTTTTGTCTGAACAGGAAAGGGAAAGGATGCTCAAGGTACAATCAAAGCAGCGCGTGAGACTATAATTGATTTAACTAACAATTGCAGTCCTATCTCCCCAAACCTAACGACCCCCCATCGACTGTTTCGGCATCTCGACCTCAACGAAGATCGCGGTTAGGACTCCGTCGCTTTCTCCTCAACCAAATCCATGTCCTCGTCTTTGTCGTTTTGCACGGGATCTTCTCTCTCTACATCAAGTTGCGCCAAACATGGAACCTCGTGCGCTACCAGTTCTCCTCCGTCGTCAAATATCACCATGGCACACCGCAATATATTAAGAAGGACTTGAAGGGCCTATCTAAGAAACCCAAGCACCTTAGTGTTATCCTAAAGCTCGAGGAGAACCATCGCACGAAGGCCGATGTCGAGCGACTCCTTGATGAGGTAGCCGAGATTGCGACATGGTGCGCTTGTGCCGAGATTCCGATGCTCTCTGTGTACGAGAAGACAGGTATGTTTTGACATGTGATATTGTCCGATTTATACCAACAAAAAACAGGAATTCTCAAAAAGCATATGCCCCGAGTCTACGATGCTGTTAGCCAAAAGTTTGCGTTCTACTTTGGCCCTGAACATCCTGGCCTTACTGTTACATCACCCCACAAGGAAGACCTTCCAGTGGCCTTTGGCAAGAAGCCTAGGGAACATCTTCGCCTGCACCTCATCTCCGAGCAAGACGGTCGTGAATCCATGGTTGACCTCACCCGTACCCTGGCTGAGATGTCTCAGAGAGGCAAGCTCTCTCCTCGTGACATCTCCACTGAGTTGATCGATGCTGAACTCTCCGAGGGTATCATGACTGAGCCTGATCTGTTGCTTACTTTTGGCCCTTACCTCGAGCTATCAGGATACCCTCCTTGGCAGATCAGATTGACTGAGATTTTCTGCCTCCAGGACAATGAGAGGGTTGGCTACCAGGTCTTCCTCAAGGCCCTGCAACACTATGGCAGGGCCCAGATGCGCCTCGGTAAATAGGTGCTCGCATATCATAGTTTCTTTGCCACCATCTTCGTTTGCGTTTAGATTAATTATATCCTATCTCACGATTTCCAGACCAGCATCTCTCTGGCCTCCCTATTCCATCTATACACTGGACCTGTCCCAACATTGTAGTTGTAGTAATTCTCCGTCCCTCCTTTAACCATTGCTCTTCGAAATGTGATGTTGATCCTTCCGCCATCTTCCTGATTCTTTCCTGTTCTCTTTGGTATCGAGTGCAGCCAGTTTGATTGTGTTCTACCCCTCATCAAAACCATGTCACCGCTTCCTAGTGGCAACTTTAACGGTTTCGTGCTCGCAGCAGGAGGGTTCATGGAGTTTGGTGGCGGTGGCTTGTGTTTCATGAGAAAGTCACGTCGTGCTCCGAGTGAAAAGGAGGCAATGGCGGGATCACGACCAAGGAACTGTTCATCGTCGCTGTGGAAGCTGATGCTGTCGGAACCAGAGGCATAGTAGTTGACAAGGCAGAAGTTGTACTCGCATCCTGTAGCCAGCTCAGTCCGACGACGAAGCTCTTGGAGGCATTTTGGAATAGGTCTAGGAGGATAGTTGGCGTATCGCTTATTCAAAGCTCTGGAACCAGTGTTGGCATCTACAGGCAGACCTTGGTCGTCGAACCTAGAGGTTTCGTCGAGGCCAAATACAGTTGTCCATCTGTTCTGTCATCAGTAACAGAACCTCAGAAAGTCCAATTGTTCTTACCTTGGCGTTCGTATTTGGGTTTCTATTCCACCCCGTTTAATCTTATACTCAACTCTATAGAAGGGAAGTTCTGCTCGGAGAAACTCAAAGAGCCTTCGAGATACAGAAGTTGTTATGAATGGCTCAAAGTATAGAAGATCCAGATCAGGCTGGTCATTGATTTCTCTGCCAGGTTGATCTGGTAGAGTGGCCAGCTCCTTACTGAGGGAGACTGGAAGGTCCTTGATAGGATGAGGGTAGAACTGGTGCTTTGAATAGGTAGGCTAAGACTGATGTTAACATGCGAAATCGTAACCAATATTTAATTTCTTACTTCTTCTGAATCGTGATCACCGGAAATTATTGCTCCAAGTTCTGTTTTGGGTTTCTTCACTGTAGGGCTGAAGAAGGCCTCAAGGGTGCGCTTCTTAGACATGACGATAGATTATGCAGGTCAAATTTGTCAAATGGCGATAAGCTCAAGATACAAAGAAGATGGTTAGGATCTTTTCTGAGTTACTATGTACGAAACTTCAATTCTTAACCGTGAATATGTAGTAGTTATCCTGGAAGTCGTGACATCACCTTCTAACTCCCAGCCTTGCGTCTAAGTCAAACTGTGGCGTTGGTCTGTGGCGGTGCACAAACGTATTCCAGATTCTGCAAAGTGCAAGCCCTAAACTCAGTCCAAACCAGCCTCACTTTCTCTCAGGCAGGGACCCTTGTTTGACTCATGTCAGGTCAGTCAAAGTCAGTGCATTTTCGTCAAAAATTCATCGATAACTGAGGAGCAAGGCTTCACTATGGATGTTAGTCTCAACCCCTGTCACTGTAAATTCATAGACAGAAATATCATCATGGAAATAATAAGAAACTAATGACTCTTGGAAAAATATTCAGAAAAACTCTCAACTACGAGACATGAACCTATTCCGAGCACCGGCTGCTCGTGCAGCAAAGACTCTCGATAGGTCAGTGTTTGCAAAGACACTCAATGCTACTGCGGCGTCTATCAAAGAGAACAAGCTCCTCTCCAAGTATCGTAAAGAACTTGAAAAGACAAATGAGGTTCTCTTTATGGAGAGATTCAACCCTATCCTGCCCGACCCTGACCCTTCGCTTGCTTCTCAGGGTAAGAAGTGTATAGTATTGGCCCCTCAAATCAAGTCTACTTGTAAGTGGTAACGCCCTTGGGTGAGATACTGGTGAAAGATGCTAATAAAGAGATAATAGCTCCAGAGACATGGAGTCCTATTTTGCAAGAAGCCGCCAAGGTTGGTGATATTAAGGTGGTCCCTTATGATATTGATATTGGTTACGAGTTCTGGACGTACAGTGAGTCAAAGACTCCGAGATCTCACATACAGGAGGCTGACAAGAGCCAGTGGATGTCATGAAATCGATTCTTCCTGAAGATCTACACGAAGAGATCCCAAGTGGTTTCAACACAGTAGGACACGTTGGTATGTTTTCGAGTCCTCATCAGAACCACCAGAATCCATACTTACAAGATAGCACACCTCAACATTCGAGATCAGTACCTGCCCTACAAGAACATCATCGCCCAGGTCCTTCTTGACAAGAATCCCCACATCAAGACCGTTATCAACAAGATCGATAATGTCGGCTCAGAGAACGAGTTTAGAACCTTTGCCTACGAAGTCCTTGGAGGTCCTGATGACCTGAACGTTGAAGTCAGCGAGGCTGGTTGCGTCTTCAAGTTTGATTACTCCAAGGTATACTGGAACAGCAAGCTCGATACAGAGCACAAGAGAATCGCGGGCTTGTTCAAGCCAGGTGAGGTTGTAGCAGATGTCATGGCTGGTATTGGGCCATTTGCTGTTCCAGCTGGTAAGAAGGGTGTCTTTGTCTGGGCCAACGACAAGAACCCGGAGAGTTACCGTTACCTTGAGGACGCGATCCGCAGGAACAAGGTGAGCTCATCATTAGTCTCGTCCCATCATGACCTGATATTAATCCTTGATTGCAGGTCTCGGAATTCGTGAAGCCTTTCAATTACGATGGCCACGACTTCATCCGCACATCCGCAGATCTTGTTCTGGAAGCTCACAAACGCGGCGACTGTGCAGTTATCAAGCCTCCAAGACCATCAAGAAAATCTACAGCGCCGCCTTCGGAGCCTGTCCGAGTGCCCGTGCCACCAACCATTTCCCACTTTGTCATGAACCTTCCCGCATCCGCCATTGAATTTACTCACAATTACCGGGGTCTCTACCATGGTCACGAGGAACTCTTTGAGCCTCACACCGAGACCAAGCTACCCATGGTGCACGTCCATTGTTTCTCGGTCAAGGCTGATGATGAGACACCATTGAACGACGTCTGCGAACGCATACGTAAAGAGATTGGTGTTTTGCTCAAGACTGGCGACCCCGAAAAAGAAGGCGAAGTCCTCATCTACGATGTGCGAGACGTTGCGCCTGCAAAGAGAATGTTCTGCGCTTCGTTCCGCCTACCGCGTGAGGTTGCCTTTGCTGAAAGGGCTTAGACGGGGTCGGACGATGTCGATATCTCTGGCATTTGTCGGGCCCCGGGTGGAACGGTCAGCCGGGCGGACGGCCGGAGGGCTATAGCCTATTCCCTTGCACAGCAGCTGTGCGATGCTGTGCTGTGCTGTAACGTATTCGTACTGCAGTAGGATATTAATTGACCAACCCAATGCAGTACGAGGTCGGAAACTCAAAAAAGGACAAACCAAGGCGCTTAAGCCTACGCCGAATGCAACTTTCTCTTTCTACAATCAAGAACAGGGTCGCATTGGCATCCATCGGGATATGGCTGTTGATAATAAAGCGCTTACAATACTTATCGTCCGATACTGTATCTTGCCCGGGTGATTTATCCTGCGGCCCGCTCAGGCACGATGACGCTTTCATGAATAATTCAGACTGAGTATAGTTAGCCGCGATAACGGGTCGCGGGGTTTCTTTGGTCTGTGACTGCAGCCGGTCAGCGTAAGCTTCGGGATACCCTTGAGGGATCGACGATACATCCTCTGGTCTGCCCTGCCCTGCCCTGCCTGTTTGGTTTGGTTCAATTTGTTTTGTTCATAAAACAAGCTCATACCGAATGCCAGGCGTGGCTGACCAGGTCAAGACGTGGCACACCCATCATGTTATCCTTGCCCACCCTTGCACTCACTCATGGAACGGGCTACCCATCAGCGATTGCATCTTATCTTGGAGGACACCCTTATGGGCGACACCTGACTCCCTCTTGAACAACGCAGACGCACCCCTCAAGCTCCTTCTAGTCTGCACCCTCGCATGGTTTCACGGCATCACCGTTGAACCGTCGACGTTTTGTATACCTTGCACTGCATTCTCAGTGCGTCGCGCATGCATTGGAGCAAAGCTGACGCACGCCCTGGTGCAACCTTGCAGAACCCAAGCCAGGCCAAGACAAGACAAGACTCTTGGATAGTTACAAGATCGGAGAGACGAACCGATTAAGTGAGACACTCAGACAGATGACAGCATACAAGAATCAAAGTAAATCGCTACAAGGCTTTATGCGACACCGTACCTACGAGCTTGGTTCGATCCTCGATGCAGCTGCATAATGCCAATATCAATAATGTCGTGATGTTTTTCTTATCAATTCTCACATCCACAAACCTGTTGGATATCTCTTCCTTCAGAATCTTTTTTTCAAAGAGCCATGCCTATTCTTCCTCTTTCGGTATCGTGCTTCATGGTCGCTTCGAGTCCCTAGCCCTGGCCCTGGTTCTGGCATACCCGCCATCCCGAGCCCAGGGTTCCCTCGAAATCTAGGTGACCTCGGTGTGGTATTCCGTAACCCTACGCGCAGTTGAGGGTGCTGCCATCCCACGCATATTCCCCTGACCGATCTACGGTATGTGCCTCAGCCATAAATAACGTCTGCAAGCCATGTCTGCGTTGCGTTATCAGTGAGACGAGGCACGACAACACCACTAAAACGTGGTGGTATACGAGTTGCGCAGCGTCAATTCGGAGAGTTAAGATGGCGACAGGCAGTGGACCCTGAAACATTAGCTATTGTTGTACAGTAGGAATGGCGGTTCTCATTATCAAGGATGGTCGGCAAGCTTCGAGAACCCACAAAGAAACCGAGAAGCAGAAGAACATGAGCGTTAGTGAGAGATATTGTGAGAGATACGAACCAACGTAGCATCTGCAACGCGCAACGGAGAGTGAGTGGCGATAACTTGTCGATCTACAAAGCGACTTGTTATAGAATCCCAGTCTCTCGGTGCGGGTCCGGGGTTTCTTCATCAACTGCAAGAGAAACTATTCGGAAACACATACCATCAATCATGAACAGCCATTTGGTTATAGAACCCAGCCCTATTAATTGTTCTGAGGCCGTCCATCGCTGCCTCCTTATCGCCTAAGCGAATCTGCATGACAGAGCATCGATACTATTGATCTTCTTCCATCGTTACCTACCAGGGCTGTGCTGCAAGTCCAGAGAACGGGTTATGGGAACAGCGGCTCATGGAGGTTGGAGAGGGGATCGTCTGGCGTCTAGGTTCAGACGCAACTGCAACGTACATCACGGCGGACGCATCTGCTTTCAAGGGAACTCCTCCATCTCCCGTCAGGCCCATCTGCAGCGCTTCGAGGGATGGGGTGTGGAGTTTCGAGACGATGAGACGAGTGGATAGCCAGTATGAGGCTGAGGACTTGAGTTAATAACAAGCGCCCTTGTTAAGATAGGGTTGCACTTGAGTTATCATGGGTGTTCGAGCACAGTAACGAGCTCATGAGGCGATATTGCAACAAGAGGAGAGGAAAGCCCTTGTTGGCAGAGGATGAACGACGAAACTCGTAGGCTTTGCGCCAAGTCTGATGTGATGAAATTCGTCATTACCATAACTCTTTAGAGTTGCGATCATGTGGAGAGTTTGCTCGCGAGAGATATTCATGATCTCTCGTTCTGTTGGCTCATATCATCCCACTTTGTAGGATGCGCATAATCAGCCAGCCTTCACATGCTAAAGTGTGGCTTCTATTGTTAACCTCGAATCTTGTTGGTCAATTCCTGTGGATAGAGCCACACTGCTAGGGGAGATCGAGAATCGAATGCAGAAACTCCAGCAGGCATCCATTTAGACATTCTAGGAACCACAAGTTCCCCATTTCAATTCCTTGTTCTCTCTTGTCGTTTCGTCAACAAGTCAGCAAGTTCCACTTGCTCGGACCGAGATGACTTGCGTTCACTAATGTCCTAAGTCTCGGCCGATCCGATATGCGAGCAACGAGGGGCAATCGTGAAATATGATTGGTTGACTATTGAGATAGTGTTTCCATACTGGCTGTTCGAGACCTGATTTCTGCTTTTCGACAGACCTGGCATCGAGAAGGCGAGGATAAGTCGCGATGATGGAAGTTTGTTAACGCTGGCAGGCGGTATTGGGTAATGCATGCGAGGGCGTTCCAGTGATGTATCATAAGGGAAGTATCAGGAGTAACACTGATGCCAAACTGGGCCGACGGCATGTTATTATCAACATGTTATTGCATATCCGATAGCAGCCGTAATTGAAGATACATCATGGAGTGTAGCCAAAGATCTCTGCAATCTTATCCTATCTCTCGAGGCACGATGTAGCTATGAATGGTAGCTGGCTGGCACTTTGTCGAACGCAGCTCATGGCGATACTCCACCATACCATGATGGTGAAGAAAACGGACAACTCACATAGCCCATAGTGGTAACCCGAGAGCGTCGGTGGGCAATCAAGTCCTGGTTACTATTCTCGGTGGGCCTCGTGATTATGTTCAAACAGCTGTTGTTCATCGGCAAAGAACCAGGGTGCACCACGCCTGGAGATGGGATATGACACAGAGTATGTAGTCCGTCATTGATGGAGAGACCAAAGATTGAGCGCCAACGTGGAGCACAGAAGTACCTCAAAGTGCCGCATAGCATCGCTGGTCGAGAACCACCTCTCTTTGTAAATATTGAAGCTGTTGCAGTTGGCGCCAGTGATGCTAGCCAAAGCTTGTGTCCTCACCAGTGCGGGGACCCCAAAACATCACGGCCCACCGCAGAGTCACCCAATGTTCTGAGAATGGACCAAAGGTTCATTCTGTATGAAAACGTACCTATTAGTGAGAAAGTCAAGTCGATTGTGCGGTAGAATCCTGCCGAATTTTCCAATGAATATCCTATACTCGCGAGTGGCTTTGTACAACCAACAACCAAGCTTTGCACGGCAAAGCATATGTCATCAAGTCTGTTGGAGATACTGCCAGATTTGGTCGAAGCAAAAAGAAAGTGTCGATCCTTATGCTGATCAGGGTCCCTGTAGATTGGCTTTAGAATAATCATTAGCTAACTAAGCCATGGTGGGTACATCCGACCAAGGAAATCCTGCTGAGCCTAGCCGGTGCGAACGAGGTTGCTTGCGTGGAAGTCTTGATATTTGCGTAGTTGATGTGAGGTAGGACCGAAAAGAACCATCAGTAGTCGAATTCTACTGTATGTGTGTATTCCGCTAGTTCTATTAGACGGATCCGTATATGTATCGATGTTACATGTCTGGACTTACATAGCTAGAACGAGCATGCAAATTCGGCGACAATTATAGAACGGAAACTCTCGAATAACGATAGCCGAATTATCGATTCGCTTAACCCTTGAAAGGAGCCGCTAATGGCGTCACTCATTATAGCCCGTAGAGAAAACGGGGGTTGTCCATGGCACCAATCCCAGAAAGAGCGTCAATTCGTTTCGAGGCGACATATTGATGTAGCCGGTCCCGAAGAGGTTCTCCATTCTGTTCGTAGAGTCCGAAAATTCCATCATCGTCAAACTCGCCAATAGTAGCGTTTGAGGGGAGTCAACTTTTCAAGCGCCTGTAAACCTCCATGCTGAATGAAGAGGTAAGACCTTGCCCACATACAGAGCGCTAAACAAGACATTGTATGTGAACATCTCCAAAAGCCGCATTGATAGGCATCTCAGTGCCCCGGCCAGCTTGGCTGGTACAGTAAAAAAGATCACGGCAACTAAAACTGCGTCCGTCGTTACCAATGCCAAGATCCCCTTGCTTGAGCTTATGTCCAAGCAGTACAGTAACGGTAATGGTGCAGTAGCCCTACTGTAGCCATAGCGCATCCGCATTCGCAGCTGCGGCCACAGATGCATCCTGCAAATCAGATAGTACAAGCCATGGCGGCCAATGAATGGTTTAAAGCAAAGACAGCATGAAGTGGACTTGATAGTGCAGTGACCCTCCAGGGTGTTTACTCTCGAAGCAGAGCAATGCAGTAATAGGTCCCCATCGACCCACTCGTAAGAGCAACCTACTAGATATTTTGCTGTGAAGAAAATACATGCTTGTGCCTGTTAATGGGAACGATAGCATCGATGGGTCCGATGGCTGAGGATTGATGTGTCATGGCGCAAGGGTCAGGGACGAGAAAAAAGCTTGGTGTGCTTGGATTCTCGGGTTTTCACGGATTGCTTGAAGAATCCATAATGTTGGCAGTTGCTGTA